AAACTGTAAAAAATTATTTTGGCTGGTTTTACAGAAATGATTCTGTTGATAATATGGACATATTTATTCACATTTTCTACTTTATGAATAACATATGCCCTTATTAAAAACTGGTAATACAAAAAAGCAGCAGCCCTAGTAAAATATTTATCACCTGAAATCTATTCCTAGCTGCTAACAGTTGAATATACTGAGTAAATGTATAATTTTTATATAAAAGCAAATGACTTAGCTTACATCTGACCATAGCTCCAGTAACTTCCATTTTTGCTTTTTTTTTTTTTTTAAGATTTTTATTTATTTATTTGGCAGAGATCACTAGTAGGCAGAAAGACAGGAAGGGAAACAGGCTCCCCGATGAGCAGAGAGCCCAATGTGGGGCTTGATTCCAGGACGCTGGGATCATGACTTGAGCCGAAGGCAGAGGCTTTAACCCACTGAGCCCCCCAGGTGCCCCCAATTTTTGCTTTTTTTTAAATGTCATTCTTTTTATCTATTAAGCAATGGACTCATTGGGAGACTGTATCACATTTCAGTTTTCTACTACAATTCACTCTTCATCTTGCAAATAATACTACAAGGAAATACTCAGTTCTGAAAGGTTTTTGTGGTCAAATAAAGCACTTATTTCTGAAAATAATTATAATAATGAGCAAAAGGGGAACGAGTACCCATACGATCCGAGCAAAAAGTAATTATGTATCTAGAGTATCCCTCCTAATAAAGCAGGTGTAGTGATGGAAATATATTTTTAGAAACAAATGATGTAAGTTGAAGAGAATATAGATTTCAGTTGAGAGTAAGAATTTCCATGCAGCTGAATGTCCAGTGCCTTGATACACCAGTCCTCAATTTTTAGCTGGAGGAGTTCCTTACCTGGCTTATGGCACCTTTTTTTTCTTAAGAGTTCTCTCTCATGACCCATTCTGGCTGTATTTTCCTGGAGTTACTGACAAATCCTCATGTCCTCCCTTTCAGGTCTCTCTGTACGATGCTGTTCCTCATGGAAACATGGAGTCATCTTCTAAAACCAGCTCTGATTGCTTCTCTCCTTAAATTCACATAATCCCTCCAGGACATTGGGTTACTCAGAATATAACCATATTTTTATCTCTTCTACCGAACCTCACTGATTCTCTGTGTCACGACAGGTCAATCTGTTACACCTAGGGCTTAACCTTGCCAATTCCCAGAGCTCTCAGAACTTTATTTCTCCCTCCCTGCTCCTTCTCTGTACCAGGATCGAAATTCTTTTATCCAACTAATTTCACCCACGTAATGAGTTCCTGATTAAGTGCACACCAAGAGCCCCCTGACAAGTGAATTCCTGACTCCTCTCTTCCAACTCACATATTTGGAAAGTAGTCCCGCTGGTGCTCAGGAGGTGGGTTTGGAGCGATATGGGCTGGACTGCAATCCATTATTTACCCCTGCTTCTGAGATCTGGGGCATCCTCTGTTCTCATGCCCACTCCCTGCTCCTCCTTTCCTCTTCCATGCTTTACTGTTCTACGGAGTACTATCAGACTCTAATACATCATATATTTTACTTATTTAATGTGCACTATATGCCTTCCCTGAATTAGATTGCTGGTTGTATAACAAAGGGATACTGTTTGTCTTGTTTGCTACTGCATTTCCATTAACAGAGTACACAAAATATAGATACAAATACATGTGACATAGCTGTCCCTCCCCGCTGCTGGTACTCAACAAGCAGTCTCTCTTTTAATAAAATGAACAACAAAAAATAAATAAAGGAAAGTGTTTCAATCAACACTTACTATGTAGAATCATCTACCAAAAGAATGTCTTGATACAATCTGTGACTGAATAATTGCCTCACTTTAGTAAACATTTCTTGTGTCATCTACATAATATTGTAATGCAAATAATGCGATTGAAATTCTGGTTTCTTAAATCACCCAGCTGGAGCTTGAATGATATCAGTGTATTGTTATTTTTAATCTTATATCCTTTGGAGTATGCATTGCTCTGTAATTTTTGTTGCCATGTAGATGCATTGGTTTTTAGAGTATTAACAAATCACTTAATTAAAACACACATCCACAAGATATCATGCACTAAACTTACATTTATCAATATCTTCCTTTGTATAATGTGTTAATTATTATAGTATTTTATTTTAAAATTATTTTAAATTTATTTAAAATTATTTTATTTTAAAATTATTCTCTACATTGTAGACTTTTCAAGTTATTTAGTTATTCAGCTATTGAAAGTTGCAAATTGCCTCTTGATGTGCTGAGAACATTTTAAGATCAAGGTGAATAATAAATAAGGGCCTAGAGAATGGGCCTAAAGCAAGTGCTGCAGAACCACCCAGCTGTTAGGGAGGGCATAAGAACCTGGGTGGGTGAGGAGGACTGCAAACACATTTAGAGAAGGAACACGGGTGCCTGGGTGGCTCAGCTGGTTAAATGTCTGCTTTGGGCTCTGGTCATGATCCCAGAGTCCTGGGATCTAGTTCTGTCCAAGGCTTCTTGCTCAGCAGGGAGCCTCCTTCTCCCTCTGCCCCGCTCCTGCTTGTGCTCTCTCTCTCTGACAAATAAATATATATATATTTTTTAAGACAAAAACAGAAAAAGAACCAGAGCCATGAGTGCGGTGGGAACAGTGCGGAGGAAGGATGTTCCAACCGGTCTTCCCCAGCTTGGCCCCTCATCCCCCCGCCCTACACACATACATACACGCCTGATAACACAGCAGGTGAGATTCCAGATTCCTTTCCTGGTTGCTGCAGAGAGGAGGTGCCAGGGCTAAGAGACCCAGGGGGGCCTTTCTTGGCTTCTGGTCCCAAAAGCGCCGCAGCAAATTCTCCTGATCTTGGTTTTGGAGCGGATGCTTCAAGGATTGTCCTGCTACACCTGTCCGGAGTTTAAGATCCCTCTGCCCTAAGCTGAGGGCTGACAGGACACCTGGAGATGACTGAGAAGCTGTTAGGGAGCTGGAACTATGGCTGAAGAGTCTGAGGACAGTTGGTAGTGTTTGAGGCTAGTACACAAACAGCCCCAGTTTAATGAATAATGTTGATCTATATCATCCTATTCTTATTGAATTCTCGTAGGATAACCTTCACTGTCTTCTCCTAGATATCTAACGGGACTGATGATGCTGCAGTTAATTTTTATTCGGCATAAAAACTTGACCCCAAAAAGGATTTGAATTTATTAGTGAGAAAATTAATGTTTGATTGCTTAATAAGAGCTTATTTCTCCAAACTATTTTGAAAATACAATAGGAAATAGAATTTTTTTTAAAGATTTTATTTATTCATTTGACAGAGAGAGATATCACAAGTAGGTGGAGAAGCAGAGAGAGAGAGAGAGAGAGAGAGGGGAGGAAGCAGGCTCCCTGCTGAGCAGAGAGCCCGACGCGGGGCTCCATCCCAGGACCCTGAGATCATGACCTGAGCCGAAGGCAGAGGCTTTAACCCACTGAGCCACCCAGGCACCCCTAGAATTTTTTTTTTAAACAAAAGATTATGTGGCCCGAGTCATGTTATTCCTATGTTTCTCAGGATTGGCTGTCCAGGATAGAGTGTCAAAATATTATTAAATATGTTTGTATTTTTTGTCTTCTTTATTTTTTATTTAGACACACAATTTCACTGTTTTCATTACTGCCTGCAGTGCCCCCATCCTCCAGTGCCCCCATCCCGCAGGGTCCTCGTTTTGCAGTGCCTCCATCCTGCAGTGCCCCCATCCTGCAGGGCCCCCATCCTGCAGTGTCCCTGTCTTGCAGTGCAGGCTGCTGGGACACCGCTTGCTTCTTGCAGTTCATGGTGGCTAGAACTCAGTAGCCGGGAGATTTTTCTAACACTGCTGTTGGTTGGTTTGGTGGTAGAGGGCCTCTAGAAGCAAGGCAATTCCCCTGAATCAGCTTCCCATGGTGGCCTAGAGTCCAGGGTTCTGGGAGTTTTTTTGCACTCTGCTAGCAAAGCACCACCGTGCCTTCTCTGCTATTCAGTAAGGCCCATGGCATGGGGAAAATCCTTCACTGTCCACTTCATCTCACTCCTAGGGATGGTGACTGCTCCTTGGACCTGCTATAAAGGTTCTTGTTACCTTTAACTAGATAGTATCTCATTACTGCAATGCTACTAGAACTAATCATTCTCTATATTAACTTTCCCTGCTTATGTTGCCATATGGTTTCTCTGTCTTAACTGGACCCTGACTGATAAATGTTATGTTCATGCAAATGAGTTGCTCCACATCAGTGAACTGAACTCCAGCCCCATATACCTTCAAAGGTGAGTGAAAAAATAAAGTGTTAGAAAATAGATACACAGTGTGATTTTACTTACAGTTTAAAAACCAAACAAACCCCCAAACACATAAAGAATATAGCCATGTGTGGAATAATGATAAATAACAGAAAAGATTCACGTAAGATTCAAGAAAGTGAGTATCTCTGGCAGAAGAGGAAGGCACACTCCTCAGTGGTAGATGGGACATTCAGAGATATGGGTAACATTCCTTTCCTTAATTTGGTTATTTGTGGGAGGCAGTTCTACAAATCTTCATTTCTTTATTATTTTTTACTGTACATACATTACATATACCCTTTGATAGAAACAAGATATTTGATATTTTAAGAAAAGTAATTATCCTTTATAGCACAGAGTGACTATGTTTACCAGCAGTGTGATTAGACCAGTGTAGCTCAACTAGTTGGTTAAGATAGTGATCTCTCGCCCTGGGTGACCGATAGGGCCAATGCCAGTGCAGAATTAGCCTCGATTCCCTCTACTGCCACATAAGAGTTTCAATACAGTAGGTGTTTGCCTTAATTTTAACTCTTAGTTCAAATTCAGAATATCCCTCTATAATTATAAAATAAAAATTGTCCATCTTTCTTTTTGGATTCATAGGGAGAAGAAAGAATGCTAGTGTGTGTGTGTGTGTGTGTGTGTGTGTGTGTGTGCGCGTGTGTTAACTTTATTTTTTAGTTTATTTTTTAGAATATGAATAGAATATGCCTTTTATGATTCTTGTTGAGTGACAAACCATACCTAGTCAGTATGGGTTCTCTGAAGAACCACCTCAGGCCACTTCCCTCAGAGTCCCGGCTGCAGCCTGCACCGTAAAGGCTGCGATGGAGATCTGCCTCTTCACCTCTCCCCAGGCCTTGGACGGATCCACTCGGTTTTCAATATCGAACAGAGCATCATAAATTCCTGGGAATGACTCTCCTGCATACTTGTTGTGGCTGCTGGGAGCATAGATGACGTGCCTGTTGATAAAAACAGTTGGCTGTTTCCGGACAGTTGCTGTCCAAATGATACACACAAGAGAAAAACAGGAGCGCTCTACAAATCCTGGACTGCAGAATTCTAATCTCACGATTTGAACAAGTCACTTGTCGGCTAAACTGCCAAGTTTAATCATCTCCAAAGTCCAGTCTAGGAAGCATATGTTTTGACTTTAAACAGAGGACTTCATATCGTTCAGAGCAACAAAAATAACATTAATAGTCCCAATAGCTTGTCACCTACTATGGGTCGTGCTTGTGATTAAATGATTTGCCTATAACTTTTCTAGTCCTTAAAAATAAATGCTAGAGGGGTTCCTGGGGGGCTGAGTCGGCTAAGCCTCTGACTCTTGATTTCAGCTCAGGTCACGATCTCAGGGTCTTGGGGTCCAGTCCCTCACCAGGCTCCCCACTCAGTGGGGAGTCTGCTTCTCTGCCTCTCTCTCTCTCTCCTTCTGTCCCTCCTCCCACTTGCACACGCACGTGTATCCTCTCTCCTTCTAAAATACATAAATAAATCTTAAAAAAAAAACCTCTACAAAGTTGATACTAGCATTTCAAAAAGGAGGAAACTGAGATCTGAGAGATGAAGTGATTAGTCTCAAGCTACACTGCAAGTAAGTACTGACTTTTCACTGTCGCACGTCACCCCTGGAAATGTAGCCCAGCGGTGATGATCAAAGTCCTATTTGTGACCTGCCTACCTACTACTGTGTTTTTTTTCTCTTTAAAAAAGGAGACACACTACCATGTGAGAATGCCTAGCTTAAAGCACGAATAATCATTAAAAACAGCTTTGAAAGTGTAACACGATCTGGGTAGAAGGTGATATTTTATTGAAAGACATATGTCAGTCATGTCAAAGCACGTGAAGGGAAGGGTAAGTTCCCAAGCAAAGAGGTAAAGAAGGAAAGAAGCACACTTGTGCTGCCATTGGGAGACAGTCACCATGTCTGGATGACCCCCTTACTCCTAATTCTGATCCTTTGATAATCCATAAACAAAAAGACGGGGCCATTTCTCACTAGTCACTGATCTAATTTATTCTCCAATTCTTAGCAAGATCAATCTAATGTTCATCACTGATATTTATCAGAAATGTTTAGAATTGTCAAAAATTAGAAAAAAATCTGAACATTAGGAGAATGAGTATGTAAATACATATTTTATACATTTTACATATATTTATTATGTCTTATGTGTATACATACATAAAGACAAATATATTTAAAATGAGAGGGGGCTAAAATTATATAAACCAAATATAAACATGATTTTATAACTAACTGACAGAATTGAGGTGGTTTTATTTTCTACTTGTGACTTTGTTGATCCTCTAAGTTTCCTACAATGAACATGTGTTCTTTTATAATCAGAAGTAAACAATATATTAAAAAGTATGCAGAATCACATTACATTATATGAATAATATATCATTTCCTACATATATTTTGAAATTTCTATTTGCTTACAAGAAATCAACTATATTTTTTCCACAGTGCAAAAAATAAGAAAAAAAGAATATAATCAAGTGTCATATTTGTATTCTTACCTATAGAAAGGCCTGTCTGGTAATCCTAAAGGATCAATAAATGCTCGTTCCAAAAACATCAGTTGATCATTCAAAATTCTCAATAATATTGGGCTAAACAACAAAACAAATACAGTTGTCACTTCTTGAGAAAATATGCACCACACAGCAAACTGAAAATTCACAACAAAATTAAATATGTCTTAAATCTCTATGATATGCAAATTAAGAACAATAGTGTAATAGTTACCTTTTTAAAATCTTATAGAATACTATTCTGCTGAGGCTTATAAAACCACATAAAGTTATAGTGGTTGAAAAGGACAACAGTAATTTTTATTTATTTTGAAATAATAATTGGCAATCCTGGTTTTTAAATATAAGCAAGATGTTTTTTTATCTTAGGAATCCTAATAATCTACTCAAAGAAGTCATTCGATATTGAATGGGACAGTCTATTAATGGTTAGTAGGGTTCCTGGAAAATTATGCACATTTACCAAATGATAGCCGTTTTATTATTATTTTATTATTATTAAAGCCAAATGTCCTAGTACATAATAATCCATTCCTATGAGGCACTTTGCCAGAGGGAGGAAAGATCATAGTTTTTAAAGACAGAAATCAACTTCATAGAATTTATGGTGTTTGGAATCTCCTTAAGATTTATTGCTTATTGTTGATATTTTTTTAACCCACACAAAAATTTGAAAAGAACTATAAAGTACAAGGAAAAAAAATCCCATGTTCACTCCAGGATGATATAGTTACACTAATTGGTTTACTTTGAATTTTTCTCTATATTTGTTCAATTAAAATATAATCAAAGTATTCACAATTTTAAATATTTTTGGTTTACTTCACATTTTAGAATAAATATCTTATATTTCCTTTATAATCAACTCTTTCAATGCTTATGAAATGTTCAAATTAGTGGACATTTAATTTTTTAGTAATTTCTGTCCTCTTAAGTATTGATTGCTTTAAATTATTTGATATATTTTTAAATAAACTATTCCTATTTATTATTATTATTATTTTTAAAGATTTTATTTATCTTTTTGACACAGAGAAAGCACATAAGCAGGAGGAGAGGCAGAGGGAGAAGGAGAAACAGGCTCCCTACTTACAGGGAGCCCCACATGGGGCTTGAACCCAGGACCCTGAGATAACGACCTGAGCCAAAGGCAGATATTTAACTGACTGAGCCACCCAGGCATCTCTATTTATTTATTTGTTTGTTTGTTTACTTATAGAAAGTTAGAGCATGAGCTGGGAGAGGGGTGGGGGAGGGACAGAGGGAGTAGGAGAGAGAGAATCTTAAGCAGGCTCCATGCCTAACATGGAGCCTGACGTGGGGCTCCATCTCATGACCCTGAGATCATGACCTGAGCTGAAGTCAAGAGTCATATGTTTAACCAAGTGAGCCACCCTGGAGTCCCCTGAATTGTTTGGTGTTATAATTTGTATCTTACTCTGAGAAGCTCTTTTTCCTTTCCAAACTTGAAATTATTTCCTGAAGACAAGGTCTAAGAAATGGAAATACAGGGGTGCCTGGGTGGCTCAGTGGGTTAAAGCCTCTGCCTTCAGTTCAGGTCATGATCTCAGGGTCCTGGGATCGAGCCCCACATCTGGCTCTCTGCTCAGCAGGGATCCTGCTTCCTCCTCTCTCTCTCTCTCTCTCTCTCTCTGCCTGCCTCTCTGCCTACTTGTGATCTCTATCTGTCAAATAAATAAATAAAATCTTAAAAAAAAAAAAGAAATGGAAATACAATGGCAAAGTCTAAGAACTCTGTAAATAGCTCTTGAAACTTTAACAGTATGTATTTATGCTTTTCAAAAAGGTTTTTATTTTTTGTTTTTATTTATTTATTTTTTCAAAAAGGTTTTTAAAACAATTCACAACACTACCAGAAAAGAGCAAGAGCATCTGCTCCAGGACACCATCTGGTGCAGTGGGTTCAACCAGGTTTTAAATCATTACTAAGTTGAAACAAAAATAGCTATTTTAAAAATGGTATAACTTTATTTTTACCTGTATTTTTTAATCAGTAGGGAATCTGAATGTTTTTTATGTCTGTCTGTAAAGGCAGTGTCTTCTTTTTGAGTTGTCTTGTCCATTGCCAACATTTTCAACTTTGTTCTTTTGTAGTTTCTTTTTTTAAAAAATATTTTATTTATTTATTTATTTGACAGACATAGATCACAAGTAGGCAGAGAGGCAGGTGGAGAGAGAGAGGGAAGCAGGCTTCCCGCTGAGCAGTGAGCCCCATGCGGGGCACGATCCCAGGACCCTGAGATCATGACTTGAGCTGAAGGCAGAGGCTTAACCCCCTAAGCCACCCAGGTGCCCTTCTTTTGTATTTTCTTAACCAATTTTCAAAAAATATTTTTTATGAGGTTTATATTACTCCCTTTCCATATTTGCTGGAAAAGAGGTTTTCCAGCCTTCTATCTTTGCTTTTGATGATTAACTTTCATATTCTGAACCATTTCTGTGTTTTCAAACCTGATTGCCTTTGCATTTCCCTGTTGCTTCTAAACTTAGAATTTCACTTCCAGGAAATTTCAACTTTTAATAAAGAATTTTTCTACAATGATTGCTTATGTTTGCATGCAATGGGAGGTGAAATTCAGAACTCACTTTTTTATCAGTTGCTGAGAGCTTAAACAACATTACTGTTGAATATGTTTTTCTTTCTCCATTTATTGTTGGTATGTCCTTCATTACAAAATACCTATTTCTTAACCAAATGCATTCTTATATGTCACTCATCTATTTCTGGACTGCCTGCTCTTATCTTTCAATGTATTTTTGCATCAGTCCCCAAGGATTTCATATTTGTATCATCATAATAGGCTTAATACACAATCAATGTTTACTCTCAAAAACTTCTATTTTAAAAAAATTTCCTTAATATTGTCTCATTATTTTTCTCCCATCTTAAAGTTCTATTCCAATTATGTTTATTTTGGTGATTTCACACAGAATTAATGCTAAATGCTTAATATTGGAAGAGAACTGACTTCTCAATACTTGTTCTGGAGAAAGAATTTTACCGGGTAGAAGTGGAAATGAGGAACTCTGGAGGTAATGACATTAAGAAGAGAAAGAAAAGAAAGTACGTTCTGGAAATATGAGAAGTTGGTTGAAGTATGATGGACAGACACTGAAAGAACATGAGATGAGGCTAGAAAAAGCTGGGGTCACACAGTGGAGGACCTTTAATGCTAAGGTGGGAATTTTGTAACTAAACAGTTGGTTATTAAGGAGTTGCTGGAATTTCTCAGCATATGCCTGCCACTCAAAAAGTTAGAGATGGGGGCACCTGGGTGTCTCAGTGGGTTAAAGCCTCTACCTTCAGCTCAGGTCATGATCTCAGGGTCCTGGGATCGAGCCCTGCATCTGGCTCTCTGCTCAGCCGGTAGTCTGCTTCCCCCTCTCTCTCTGCCTGCCTCTCTGCCTACTTGTGATCTCTGTCAAATAAATAAATAAAATCTTAAAAAAAAAAAAAAAAGAAAGTTAGAGAGGGGTCTTGCTGAGATATGGCAGCCCTGTACAGGATGCCTTAAGGTGGAGAGACAGAAAGGAGCAAAAACACTTCCCAAAGATATTTCAGCAACAAAGATGTCAATTAGTATCTCTTTCTCATTGTATCTGTTCTAGCCATAAGTTAAAAATGTGGAACATACTTGTTTTTGTCCAAGTCTTGAAGTCTCTCATTGAACTTAGAAGCAATTTCTGTAAAGTTCTTCACAGCAGAGAAAAGTGCATCTGAAATAGAAATCGGGGCTTAGGGGCATTGTCCTCTGGCTTATGCAAAGGGGACAGTATAGGAAGCAGTTTGTTCTCTTCTGTACTTTACAAGGTTCTTATATTTATATATTACAAGAGGGGCATTGGTGAAATGGCAAATACATTTATAAATGTAAACAATATCTGATCTCACAGACTGGCAATAAATAACACGTGGACTAAGGTCGGTCACTACATTTTAGAGATTAATTGAAAGATGAGTTTTGAGGGAGGAGGGGTAGCATACCAAATGACACACGGTATGTTTTCATTTCTTGTGGATGTTTCATTGAAATATTGTAGATCTTGTCAGCATACTTTCTCAAAACGATAGCATAATCTCGACAGTCAAATGGGAGCACTATGGAATTGGCTAGTTCAAATACCATCCCTCCTCGAACCTGTGCCACAGCGAGGTGGTACTTAAAAGTTGGATCATAAAATTTTTCCACCAATTCATATGTTTCATAGACACTGTGATACAATGGATAGCTCCTGAATTTGCTTGTTGCCTACAAAAAGAAAAGGAAAAAGAGCCACACAAAAGAACACAAAAACCAAACTATATCTCTTATAAAATAGCTTATAATAAGATGCATAGTACCATATTTACTATTAACATTAGTAAAACTATTTTGGCCAGTAATGAATAAAGAAATGTATTTAAGAACCTTAATAATACACTTACTAAAGGGTTAATATTATAATATGAAAATATATCCCAGATGTGTAATTAAAAAATATGTGTATACAACATAAATGATAGAATAAAAATTATCTGGAAAGACCTAATGGTCTTGTCTTCAAGGATATAGGAGATGTGAAAACATTTCTGAAACAAAGACAAGATAATGTTGCATTTCAGTCTAAATAATTTAAGAAGATAGGGAATTGCTAGAGGCGATGGTATATGAGCATTATACAACATTATATATGGTAAAGCTGCAAAATGCTAATGACTGAAATTCCACAAATGGATGATTTTCTGACAAGCAGCCTGTGGAAGTGTGAAGAGTCCGCACAGTAAGGAGAAATGTAGTGGATTCAGAATCTCATGAAGGAGAGAGAAGGAATGCTCAGATATATACAAGACACCAAGAACATAAACAAAAGGCCAGAGGCAAGGACTTTTCAAACTTTGAATTGCTGATTTATGTCTTTTGTCTGTCTTATTTAGTTGTGGTTTTTTTTTTTAATTGACATAAAAGAACACTTTATTTAGCAGTGTGTTGAAGCGGCTAGGATTCTAAAATTAGATAGCTGGAGTTTGAATCCAGCCCGTAGGACCTATTACCAAATAACTCTGACTGGTTATTAACCCAAAGATTATTAGCTTTTCTTTAGTATTCTCATGAGTAAAACATAGATAATATTAACATCTAGCCTCAACCCACCCCCATCTAACCCTGCCTAACTTCCTACCCCAGTGGTAGGATTAAAGATTTCCTGTCTGGAGAGAATAACTAGTCCAAGAGAAAAGATCGATAGATTCTATAGACCTATAGTTGTTGCCTCCCCACAAAGCATTGAGAACAGGCATTCTCAATCACTCTTCTCTGAAGCCTCCCATTTGACAGCTGCCGCCCTTGCATACATGGCTTCAGTCAGCTTCTCATGGACTAATTCCTAAATAAGACAGGTGGCCAAAGATGACCAGGCACTTGAAAACAGCCTTTGACTTAAAAGATACAGACCAAAAACACAAACTAAAATAAAATCAACTTAAGAGTAAGGAGGTACTGCAAGGAATGGAGGGAAACTTATAGTAATAATAATAATAATAATAATAATAATATAAAGATTTCAATAAAAAAGAATGACAGAGTTGAGAAAGATATATTTTTTTAAGATTTTATTTACTTATTTGATGGGCAGAGATCACAAGTAGGCAGAGAGGCAGGCAGAAAGAGAGGAAGGAAAGCAGGCTCCCTGCTGATCAGAGAGCCCGATGCAGGCCTCAATCCCAGGACCCTGAGATCATAACCTGAGCCAAAGGCAGAGGCTTTAACCCACTAAGCCACCCAGGTGCCCCAAAATATTTCTGATAGTAAAAAACAAAACAAAACAAAAAAACACAGATAAGAAACAAAAGATAAAAAATAAGCACATCAGAAAATAATCCCCAGATGTTAAACAACTAGTAATAGTTCAAAAAAGTCAAAAGAGGGAAGAAGTGATCAAAGGGAAAAACATTCCCTCCAATTGCAGGATGTGGGTTTCCAGACCAAAAGGCCCACTCTGTGCCTAGCCCAGTGTAAGGAAAAATGGTGTAACCAAAGCACACACATACAACGAGGACCACATAAAAGATACCAGAACCTTCCTTTAAAAAAAGTCTCCTTTTCAAGAAGTTCCTGAAGGATGTGTTCCAAACATACTAAAGAGTAAACAAGAAAAAGAAAGATACAAAATCCAGGAAAGAGAGGATGCAGAACAGGAGAGAATTGAAGGTACTCTCAGACTTTTCAGTGAAAGAAAATTTCACAGGCAAGAGCTGTGTCACAGGGAAAGAGAACCACCAGAGAACCCAGACGAGTAGGAGAAGAAGAACCCAAGAGAGAAAAAGAAATCTATCAGATCACTGATATGTTGGAATATACTAAAAGTTTGTGGTGAGTTAGTTATGGACACACGGAGGGGGAAAAAAAGATACTCTAATCCACAAGTATGGTACAATAGTATATTGAGAAAACGCAATGAGGGAAAATATTTGAGAGTTGGGAGAAAAGTTGATATAGAAGCGCAAAAATGCCTATCTTCCCTAATGAGAAGCAAATGGAAGATACGTCAAACTGAAAAAGAAATAAATGGCACCAGGAACACAGTATGTGTAAGCATGCATGTAGATATCAGAAGAAACCAATGAAAAAAACTGAAAAAATGTGAATCTGTTGAACAGAAGCAGAGGTGGGACAAGCCCACAAGAATAAGGGACCAGTGTTTTTCATCATACATACTTACAGAACTGTTATGAGCTTTTGTGAACTATGTTCTTATGTTACCTTGGTAAACATAAAAACTGTAAAATTGTCATTACCACCAGCATGAACGATGGCAGGGAAAAAATCATGAACTGTATATGTGTTCACTGTTCCTTGTGCCATAGAGCATAACTTTCACGTTTACTTATTGGAGATCAAATGGGATAAAAATCCAAATATTTCTAGTGTAAGTAACTGGGTGAAAGCAATGCCACCTAGTGAAACAGAAAATAGATTTAAAGGAATACAAGCAAGTAAGTTCTAAGGCTCAGGACGCCGGATGTGGGCATTCCCCCGTGTGACAGTAGCCCCACCTCAACCACTTCTGCTTCAAATTCCTCTATTTCTTAAAGGCTTACGTTGTCTTTTTTTTAAATTCAGAATTATTTGTTTAGCTAAAATATATGCATAAGCAATCTTCAAAAACATTCTGACAGACTTACCCAGTTTTTAGTGTACCGTGCTCTGCCTGAAGCAATTCCAAGTCTTTGGAAGAACACCTCAAAGTCATTACCAGATCCCAGTTTGCTAATCCTTTTAGAGATAAAATGGGAGATTACCTGAGTAGTTTCTTCAGTGACTACAATTTAAAGCTTAATTAAACTCCATTCTTGCTCTTATAATGTTTCTTTATAAAAATCGTATCAGACGAACAACAACAAAAAATAATTGAGAGGAAAAATTGAGAGAAATAACTGATCACAAAGTATCTACTTCAATAAGACTATCTTGGGTAGTAGTGACCATTGTTCTTTTGGGTTCCTGGACCCAATTCCAACATGTGGAGGGGGATGTGTGGCGTTTCCCGTACCAGCGACAAGCAATGCTCTGGGACACTAGCTATGTGTCCTCCAATTCAACTCAATTCTGACACTGAAGGTAGCACAGATTCCACAGGTGAAGAGCTCAGTCAAACAGGACTGCCTCTCCACCGATTTCAGAACCAACCACAAATCCAGGTTGTCATCTGTGTTTCTGACTGACCGGCTGCAGATTGGAGATTCTCAAGTACTGTTCCTTGGGTTCAAATAATTTGCTAGAGCTGTTCCCAGAACCCAGAGAACAATTTTACTTAGATTAGATTACTTAGATCACCGGTTTATTATAAAAGGATGTAACTCAGGAACAGCCAGATGGAGGAGGTGCAGAGGGCAATGTGTAGGGAAAGTACACACAGTGGTCCACACCCTCCCCAGGTGCCCCACTCTGCTCTAAGTTCCATGTATCCACCAACGTGGAAGCCCTCTGAACCCTGTCTTCTTGGGTTTGTATGCAGGCTTCATTACAAAGACACAATTGATTAAATAATTGGCCACTGCAGACTGATTCAACCTCTGGTTATGGGGTGGGACTGAAATCCCAACCCTCTAATTATATGGTCGGTTCTCTTGGCCATCAGCCCCCATCCTTAGGTGGGGTCCAAGGGTCACCCTGCTAACATAACGAGAGATACCCTTGTCTCTTTCATCACTTAGAACATTTTAAAGGTTTCAGGAGCTCTCTGTGCCACTCAACGGGCCAAAGATTGAATATATACTTCCTATTATAAATTATAATATCACAATTGCATAGGTTAATTTTTTTAAAGATTCATTAAGTTGGAAAATATTTTCCCTCAACTTATTTTATCATCTGTATTTGTTGTTCATGATAAAGTTAGTAGAAGCAGAATTATTTTTAGATAATTCAGATGTAAATCCTACCTTAAATTTTTTTAATTATTCGTACTCTTGATAGGTATAATCTTATCTATAATCAATCCATATCTGAGATACTTACTCCTTTAACCTTGCCTGTGAAGACACTTCCAATACTGAAATGACGCCTGTATTTTTCTTAGAGAAACCAAAATATTCTTTGACTGTATGATATTCAGAAAAAGGAAAACGTATCGAGTAACTTAGGTACAGAAATGCTAGGGGAACTTCTTTACATTATAACTTTGGACTTATGGAGCATGCTATGTTTTGCCTTCTCAAAAAAGAAACATTTTTAGATGGCCTACAGGTTTAACTTCAAAACACATGGCAATATTTTATTTGTGAACCAAAGCATCACCTTCCCTTTGAAAGAAAGCACACTTTCATTTTCAACCCAGTCCTACACTCTATCCAGTAGAAAGTCTTGTTTGTTTACCTTGGCATGCCACTGAACTCTGGTGAAGGACTTTTTCCATTCCAGCTCTCATAAAGAGATCTGCCTTCAAAGCCTTCATCAGGGCTTTGGAGCTACAGATTAAAAGTGAAAAAAAAGAAAATAATTATAAATAAGATATTTTAAAATTTAAATGTCCATTAACCAGGGAATAAATTACTAAAGTATATTCAGCAAAATGCATGATACACAATTTGCACATTAGCTGTCATTAAGAATTGCAATAATGAGTTTCTGATAATAGAGGAAAATGTTCATGCTACTATATATAAATGTGACTATTACAAAAAATACATGAAGTATATGGAAAAGTAGGCCATATTATTACCAAGCCACTTATGCAAATGAAAGGTCATATTGTAAGACTTTTTTGTCTATTTTTTCTGAATTGAGGAAGGCTGTTCTCAAAAACACATGTTTCTTTCCTCTTCTAAAAAGAAAATGAAAAGAAGCAAGGTGTTTAAAAGAAGGTAATTCTTTTAATATTGCTTCTTGACAGTAAGGTTGCTAAAGTCATTAAAACATAATAAAACAAATGCATTAATTTTTATTTAATTAATTATTTATTGTAATTTTGTTAAATACTGGGCCTGAAATACATTTTCTGGTTTTACAGATGAGGAAAAAGAATTTCACTCAAGCTTCTAAGTTGACACCAAATTTTGATATAAGGGACAGCACTACTCCATTTATGCTAAAAAATGCACATTCAGAACCGTGTAGAAATACAGTACTAAATTTTCCATTTATCACTCAAATGTAAAATGCTATTAATCACTCTCCCCAAACAAAATAGAACAAAACCAACCCCCAAACTGTCAACCATCGTGTAATTTCAAAGGTGACCTAGAGGGTGGTGTTTTTGCAAATGTCCCTGTAGGACACCGAACCAGCCAGAAAAAGAATATAACTGATGAGCTTCCTTAGCATTTACCTTAAATTACATGAATGGTGCACATTCTCAGAAACACGCTGTCGCAGATACATGGTCTCACCTAGCCTCTGCCCCAAACCGACCGGACCCTGGAGTCAGCGGTTGGTGTTTCCACACATACTCCTTCTCAGTCCCTTGAAACTTTAACTCTTCCTGAGTCCTGGGCTAATTGATATCAGCACATGAAGGAGTATAAATCAGTTTTTAAATTAAGGAGTGAAATCACAGGACCAAGTCCCACTTCAGCCACTGCACGAGTTGTGTGACTCGGGAGCTAATGCTTTTTGATCTTAGTTTTCTCAATTTCTAATGGGGATGGCAGACACAATGCTACCCCAAGGCTGCTTCAGGGTAGTTGGTAGAGATGGGGTAACATGTGTAAACAGTTTATTAAATGTAATGTTCTCTGGAGTTTAGTAGATGTAATATTTGCTATGCAAGAGAAAGATAGGACATAATAATCGTACCTCAAGAAAACATCACTTGTAGAACTCAAACTTTCTAAAATTATACATAATTATTTTTACCTCCTTTGTTAGGTTGTATACCAAGCTGTACATCAGTGGGGTACAATCAACTCTCAGAGTATAGTTCCCTTAAAGATAAAGAGAGAGTGGTTTTTTTTTTATTTACTTTATTCTTTCATTCAAAGATAAATCCTAATTCTTTATCCAAAAGGATCCTCTTAAAACCTAAGTCCAATAAAAACTCTCCAACTTACTATTTAATAAAGGTATCATGCTCATCACAGCCCTCATTTCCAAGCATGAAACAACCCCTGAGGCCGCTCCAGATTTTCACCTCCCACTCTGCCTACTCCACTGCTTAGGGGCTTTGCACATACAGTTCCCTTGGCCTGGAACAGTGTTCTGCACTGATCTGACTCTAGTCTAATGTCATGTTTTCTGAGAGTTTCCCCCAAAATCCTACCTAAAGGAGCACACTTTCTTCTCTTTATCCTAGCCACTCTTTTTTTTTTTTTTTTTCTGATGGTGCTTTATTTTTCTCATTGTTTATCTCTCAAACATGTTAACTATTTGCCTTTTTCTTTTCCATCCTCCCACCAGACTAGAAGTTCCATGGGAGCAGGGGTTCTCTTTTATTGTGGTCCCATCCCCAGGGCTTAGCACAGAGTCCTAGCCTTTAGCATTTACCCAATAAATATTTGTTGCAAAAACGCATTTTTGGGGGTGCCTCGGTGGCTCAGTCAATAAAGCGTCCGACTCTTGATTTCAGCTCAGGTCATGGTCCCAGGGTCCCGAATCAATACCTGAATCGGGCCGCATGCTCAGCTAGCAGTCTGCTTGAGATTCTCTCTCTCCCTCTCCCCTAGCTTCTCCCCCCAGCTTAGATGTGTGCACACGCACATGCTCTCTTTCTCTCAAATAGAATAAATAAAATCTTTTTAAAAAATGTATTTGTAAGGCAGATACTCTCCAGCTACTTCTTAATAAAGAGCAGAGGTGGTGTTCCCATTGCTCAGGAATTCTGTTTGATGAGTTTGAGAATCATGTGAACAGCCAGGAGAGGTCCCCCCAAGAAGCTGTGGGAGCACAGGGAGGGGATGCTAAAGCAGGTTGGGGTCTTGGGGAAGGGGAGGTTAAGACAACTTCATCAAGGAACAGCCCATACAAATACCCAGAAATAAAATAGTACACAATGTACTCAGAGAATGGCCAGCAGTTCTTATCTCAAAACTTCAGATCCATGTCTGGGGACAGAAAAAGTTGAGGCTTTAACAATAAGTAGACACCCCAGCGGAACTGTTCATAGAACCTGAAAGGCTGGTTCTAAAATCCAACTGGAAGAATACATATATACAGATTTTAGCCACTGCCATTTTAATTTTTTTAAATTTTTTCATTTTTAAAATATTTTATTTGTCAGAAAGAGACAGAGAGAGAACACAAGCACAGGGAAAGGCAAGCAGAGAGGGAAGCAGACTCCCTGCTGAGCAAGGATCCTGATGGGACACGATCCCAGGATCCTGGGATCATGACCCAAGCTGAAGGCACATGCTCAACGGACAGAGCCACCCAGGCATCCCCAGCCACTGCCATTTTTAAAAGCGCTAAGAGCTAGTAGAAGTGCAAACCAGAGAGTCAGAGAGGAAGTGTGGCAGCAAAGTATTACCACGTAATGCACACGTAGCATGATCCAGCCACGAAACTGTAGCTCTCTACTCTCCACTTGTATAGAAAAAGGCAAGGCAGGCAAATAAACAAGATATTTACTGCAGCAAATTGAAGCCATCTGACCATCAGCTAGAGAACTGAGACATAAATTACTCTGTTGAAAACACTGTACAAGTTTTTGTTTTCAAGGGATAGATCTATATATACTGGCATGGGAAGTTTTCCATAATATGCTGTTGAATGGAAAAGGAGAAGACACAGAACCACATAGCATGTAGTACGTAGTACGTAATATGTAATGAAAACCTGTATAAGGTAGTGAGGGGCAGCAGAATACAGTAGTTAGAAGGATAAAGTTGACCAGCTGGATTTAAGTCTCAGCTCAATCCTTTACTAGCTCTGTGACCTTGGGAAAGTTACTTAATCTCTCTGAATTGGTGGTTTTCTCTTCTATACAAGGGAGATAATAAAGTACTACCTAACAGGATTATTAGACTGAATAAATGTTTCCATGTAAAGCACTTAAGACAGCACCTTCAACACCACTGATGGTTTGTAGAGCTCAGTTCTATACGTAAATGTCAGTGTGATGGAAATATCCCAAATTTAGGACAGTACCACCTTTGGAGAGAGGGCTGAGTTTGAAAGTGGTATTAGTAAAGGTTTTTGCTTTAATTATCAATTTTGCATTTTACCATGAGAAAGCCAATGTATCACTTTTTATTTAAAAAATAAATATTTAACAAAAATTTAAATATAAAGCAAAGTAAGATATAAATGGCCTAGTCATCAAGTACCATGGTGTCACATGCTCTTGATCCTGAAAATCATGGGGAGACAATGCAGCATTGCAAGGCAGGGAGTGACATCATCAGCAAATTCCTGATTTAAAACCATTAAAAATCAAATCTTACAAACAGAACTAGCAATAAGGACATTATTCACTTTTGAAAAATACATGTTTAAGTTCTTATTCTCTTGTAGCAAGAGTGTTTCATCTGATTATGTGTTTCTAAGTTAGGTAAAAGTGCCAAATACATTAATTTTTGAACTTTAATTCTGTGAGAGGCACAGGTCTTGGAGTTTAGCAAATATTAACAGCTTTAGCCCTGATAAGAGCTTTGGAGATCTGTGCTCTTGGTAACTCAATTTTTTATTTTTTTTTTAAGTGTTTTTCTTCTTCTTTTTAAAATATTTTATTTATTTATTTGAGAGAGTGAGTGAGCAAGAGAGAGAGAGAGAAAGCACAAGCAGGGGGAGCAGCCAAGGGAGAGGGAGAAGCAGACTCCCCAGTGAGCAGGGAGCCTGACCTGGGGCTCAATCCCAAGACCCTGAGTTCATGACCTGAGCTGAAGACAGACGCTCAACTGACGAGCCACCCAGGCAGCCCAGTAACTCTATCTAGAGGTGAGAAAACTGAGACACAGAAAGTGAGTCACAACCTAAGGTAACATAACTAGGAAGTGGCAGTGCCACAAGGAAGGTGATGCCCTTCCCTGGAATGTAAGAGAAGCCGGGCAGGATGGCTGAAATGCACTGCGTGAGCTCCGTCTGGGACGATGTAACTTGGACAGGTGGACAAATTAGAAATGTACATGACAACATGCCTCTGGCAAAATGCAATGTCTTAATTACGGCTGACATGGAAGGTTTACTCCTACACTAAAGGGAAGATTCTAAAAGTCCACCCTGCGTTCATTGACTCATTCATTTGCTGCACCTGGGCAAACATGTGTTTCTTTAACAAGACTTTAGGAAGCCACGAGTCATCCACATCCTGTCTGTTCCTGGCTGAAGAATACAGCCTAGTAATAGAAGTCCTTAGTAAAGCAAATCGTTGTGTAGCCTCGACAGTGATGAGTGCTGAAGACAGGGCTTCCCTGGAAAAGTTACAGTTCAGGGGAGGCTGTAAGGGTAAGAATTCAGCAGGTAGAGTGTGCTGAGCAGTCATCTGAGTACTGGGATCAGCAGCTGCACTGGCTGGGAAGGTGCACACAGTCAAGAACAGGAAGATGATTGGCTGGGAGGGTAGTGGACAATGGACTGCTTGATCTTGGGAATAGCCCCAACAATGTCCTTTCATTCGAATCTCTGCTTATCCAAAGCAAATCCATTCTTAAAGGCCAGTCTCAAGTGTCATTACTCAAGCCTTTCCTGAACTTGCTACTATTCTCTCTTCTGAACACCCAGACCAGTCTGATTATAGCAGTTTTTTTAAACTAATATTTTTTAAAGATTTTATTCATTTATTTAAAAGAGAGAGAGACACCTGAACCAAAGACACTGAGCCAAAGGCAGTGGTTTAACGGAGTGAGCCACCCAGGTGTCCATATGGCTTTTTCCTTGTACCTGCAGATAATTAGAAAGCTAAACTAATTAATCGTTCATGCTGAGCCACAGACTCCTTCGTGCAAGACTGTTCTACACTAACCTCTGATCCCTTTGAAATACTGGAAAGTGCATTACAGAGAGAAACGCTCAATAACTATTCGCTGAATTGAAAAAAAAAATTAAAAAATACTTGGACATCAGTATTTTTTTCCTAAAATCTATATGCATGATATGATAAAACTAGGATTATATTTATATTATACTTTTTTTGTTACTCCATTCTAAAACCATAGGAATCTGTAGTTCTGTGATTTACTTATTCATTTCACTAGAAATCTTTAGTTCTATGATTTATTTATTCACTTAATAGGTAGTTATGATCCTTACCACAGACAAGGTAATCTGCTAGATGAAGCAAATCAGAGAAGGCTGCTTTCCCCAGTTAGCACTCTTGGGCTCACAGCTGCTGTTAGGCAAGTGTACAGCCAGACCGGCCAGCAGCAGAGTCCCTAACCCCATGTACTGGATTTGCCTTCCTTACGGGAGCATCATTTATGAACTAAGTGACGGCTGCTACCATGATCACATCTTTTCCTACGAGACCAACGTTATTCACCTTCTATGGAAGAATCAGCATTAACATAGGCCACAGCACGTTCCTGAAGGAGTCTGGAATTCTCCTATAATAAAGAAGAAAGAAAACCATAAACATACCATGACCTCCCCCTAAAACAATATACATCTACTTGTGTTGTGTGCAGATTTTGGAAGTAAGCTGACCACAAAATTGATACATAAGATTCTGAAAATTGAGTTTGTTTAGGAGAATTCCGATAAAGACCATTCTAAGAAATAATGAGCAAAACATTTTTAAAACTAAAATTTAAGATGAACTTGCCCATATTCTTAATATGGTAAATAGAAAATGAGCTGATTCCTTAACTATGCCATGGTTTATCCTTTAAGAAATTCTCTTAGCAAACACGAATGACCTAAGAAAGAAACCCCTCAGTGGAAATCTTCCCATGAACATCTCTCTCTCAATCTCTCTCTCTTTCTCATTTTTTAAAGTAGGCTTCAAACCACTGTGGAGCCCAACTGGGCTTGAACTTCTAACCCTGAGATCCAGACCTGATCTGAGCTCACGAGTGGGATGTTTAACCAACTGACCCATTCAGGCTGGCCCCCCCTCCATCCGAACATTTCTTTATTTAAGAAAAGAATCTTGCCTGATTCAATAATTTCAAATTTCAAATTTATGGGTTAAAAATATATGAAATTTCTGTACTATACTCAGAAGCATGAAGTTCTCCTGTGGGATGGCACCACCTACTGGTCAAAGCTGATCATTGCACAACAATAAAATGCTGAGGAAAAGCATTGCCGGCTTTTTTTTTTAGCTATCAGGTGGATTTTGAATCTCCAAAACATGTGATTTCCTAAGCGTCCGGACAGTAAGAGGAGAAGTGAAAAAAACCTGTAGCTCTAGGTGGTGAATCTGGAAGAGACAAACCTCAAAATATTTAGGATCTTTCTGATGCCACCATAAATCTTTCCTGTCTTCAGGAGCATTACTACCTCCCCGCCCACCGCCCACCCCCACAAAGACAGTTGAAGTTTATGCGGATTCTTCAATTCCTAAAGTATATAATAGAATCCAAGTAAGTTTTACACCATGACTGGCAGTTAATGAGGTAAACATTAACTTTGCATATGTGTACAGCTAATGGTCCTAGTCCACAAGGCCAACAATATATGCAAGTTTAAACATATGCCATCTACATTTTAAATCCAGTACAGTTAGCATATACTGTTATTAGTTTCAGGTGTACCATATAGTGATTCAACAGTTCTATACACTACCCAGTGCTCATAATGGTTAAGTGTACTCTTAATCCCCATCACCTATTTCACAGCACCACCACCTCCCTCTGATAACCATCTGTTCGTTCTCTGTAGTTAAGAGACTATTTCTTGGTTTGTCTCTTTCTCTACCCTTCCCCCTTGGTTGTTTCTTGAATTCCATATACGATATTCATCTTTCTCTAACTTATTTTGCTTAGCATTATACTCTCTAGATCCATCCATGTTATTGCAAATGGCAAGATTTCATTCTTTTTTACAGCTGAATAGTATTCCATTCTAGACATATCTATATAGATCTCACATCTTCTTTATCCATTCATCTATTGATGGACACTTGGGCTGCTTCCATAATTTGACTATTGTAAATAATGCTGCCATAAACACATAGGTGCATATATCTTTTTGAGTTAGTGTTTTTCATATTTGAGTAGTGGAATTACTGGATCATATGGTAATTCTATTTTTTAATTTTTTGAGGACCCTCCATACTGGTTTCCACAGTGGTTGCATCAGTTTGCATTCCCACCAACCATTCATAAGGGTTCCTTTTTCTCCACATTCTTGCCAACACTTTTGTCTTTGATTTTATACATTTTGACCAGTGTGAGGCAATACCTCATTGTGGTTCTGATTTCCATTTCCCTGATGATGAGTGACATTGAGCATTTTTTCCTGTGTCCATTGGTTATCTGTATATCTTCTTGGGGAAATGTCTGTTCATGTTTTCTGCTCATTTTTTAATCAGATTGGTTTTTATGTGTTGAGTTGCTCAGTTCTTTTTATGTTTTGGATATCAACCTTTTATCAGGTAAGTTGTTTGCAAAAGACAGTAGCCTGTCTTTCAGTACTGTTTATTGCTTCCTTCGCTGTACAGGTTTTTGATATAATCTCAATAGTTTAATTTTTAGTTTCCCTTGCCTCAGGAAAGGCATTATTGAGCATGATGTCAGCTGTGGGTTTTCATATATGGTCTTTTTATGTTGAGGTGTGTTTCCTCTAAACCTACTTTGTTGAGGGTTTTCATCACAAATGGATGTAATACTTTGTCAAAAGCTTTTTCTGCATCTATTGAAATGAGTATATGGTTATCCTTTCTCTTGCTGATGTGATGTATCAAACTAGCTGATTTGCAAATATTGAACCACCTAGGTTTAAAATCCCACTTAGTTGTGGTGAATGTTTTTTTTTAATGTATCATTGGATTCAGTTAGCTAATATTTTGTTCAGGATTTTTGCATCTACGTTCATCAAAGATATTGGCTTGCAGTTCTTTTTGTGTAGTGTTACTTACCTGGTCCTGGTATCAGGTTAATGTTGGTCCCATAGAATGAATTTGGAAACTTTATTTCTGTTTCTATTTCATGGATTAGTTTGAAAAAATAGGTATTAACTCTTTTTAAAGTTTTTGGTAGAAATCTCCTGTAAAGCCATCTGGTCCTGGACTTTTGTTTGTTGGGAATTTTTTGATTACTGATTTAAATTCATTGCTGGTAATTGATCTATTCAAATTTTCTATTTCTTCCTGATTCAGTTTTGATAAATTATATAAGTTACATGTTTCTAAGAATTTATCCATTTCTTCTGGGCTGTCCAGTTTGTTGGCACATAAAATTTTTCATAATATTCTCTTCTAATCTTCTGTAGATCTGAGGTGTTGGCTGGTATTTCTCCTCTTTCATTTCTGATTTTGTTTATTTAGAGCCCTCTCTTTTATTTTGGTGAGTTTAGCTAAAGGTTTATCAATTTTGTTGATCTTTTCACAGAAAAAGCTCCTGGTTTCATTGATCTGTTGTATTGTTTTTTGTTTATTTTGTTGTTAGTTTCTATTTTGTTTATTTCTGCTCTAATCTTTACAGTTCCCTTCCTTCTATTGATTTGGGGTTTTGTTTCTTCTTTTTCTAGTTTTTTTAGATGTAAGGTTAGGTTGTTTATCTGAGATTTTTCTTGCTTCTTGAGGTAGGCATGTATTGCTATAAATTTCCCTCTTAGAACAGCTTTTCCTGTATCCCAAAGAATTTGGGCCATTGTGTTTTCATTTTCATTTGTTTCCATGTGTTTTTTGATTTCCTCTTTCATTTCTTGGTTGACCCACTCACTGTTTAGTAGCATGTTATTTAACCTCCATGTGTTTGTGCTCTTTCCAGATTTATTTATTTATTTATTTATTTATTTTGTGGTTGACTTGTAGTTTCACATTGTTGTGGTCAGAAAAGATGCATGGGAGGCCTTCAATCTTTTTGAATTTGTTAAGGCTTATCTTGTGGCATAATATATGATCTATACTGGAAAATATTCCTTACAGACTTGAGAGGAATGTGTATTCTGCTGTTTTAGAATGGAATGTTCTGAATATTCTGTTAGATCCATCTGGTCCAAAGTGTCATTCAAAGCCTCTATTTCCTTATTGATTCTGTTTGCATAATCTATCTGTTGATATAAACAGGGTGTCAAAGTCCCCTACTATTACAATTAGTTCCTTTATGTTTGTTGTTAACTGCTTTACATATTTGAGTGCTCCCCTGTTGGGTGCATAAACACAATTGTTACATCTTCTTGTTGGATTATTTCTTTTATGATTATATAGTGTCCTTCTTTGTCTTTTGTTACAGTCTTTGTTTTCAAATCCACCTTGTCCAATGTACGTTTTGCTAGCCCAGATTTCCTTTCACATCTATTTGCATAAATGTTTCTCCATCCCTTCACTTTCAGTCTGCATGTGTATCCAAGTCTAAAATGAATCTCTTGTAGGCAGCATGTATATGGGTCTTGCTTTTTTATCCATTCTGTCTCAATGCCTTTTGATTGGAATGTTTAGTCCATTTACATTCAAAGTAATTATTGATAGTGATGTACTTATTGCCATTTTGTTACTTGTTTTAATAGTTCCTCTCTGTTCCTTTCTTCCTTGGCTCTCTTCTCCCATGGTTTGTTGGCTTTCTCTAGTGACATACTTGAATTCCTGTCTCTTTATTTTTTGCACATCCATTACCGGTTTCTGATCTGTGGTTACCACTGGGTTTGTGTATAACATCTTCCGTGTAAAGGTAAAATTACTTCTAAATGGGCCTATCAAATATTCCGCAGTGAGACTTCCTGCCTTATTTTTACCATGATTTAATTTAGAGTCAGTCATATAAGGAACATAAATGTGAAAAGTATCCCTTACTGTACAGGCTCAAGGGGGGATTTAAATGTGGTTAGCTTTAGGAGCTAATTTGGAAAGTGCAATAGAAATGTGATATTTTATTTTGATGTTTGGTTTCTAGTGAATTTACTGTCACACTCCCAGGTAGTGAAGAGTAATCATTTGACTACTGGCATTAGTGGCTTGAAAAGTTCAAACAAAACAGTTCCTTTATGCAAAGAGATTGTTATTTTGAAACAAGGATGTTTTGTTTCAGATTTTGGAAAAAAGTGACTATGTTCTCATTGAATTTACTTGTTATTTTTACATCCTTGATAATCAAGTCCTAACTCCTTTACTATTATGAAAATTTATGTTGTAGCAAATTATCAACTAACCTCTGCCCACTCGGTAGAACCAAGAAGACCAAATTCTTCTGCATCCCAGCTTGCAAACAAAATTGTTCTTCTAGGTCTCCATCCTAAAATATATGTGTAGACACATAAATGCTGGGAAAATGCATAATATATCCAAGACATTGTAAAACTCCACAGAAAAGCAACACTATAACTTCATTGGCTGTTTAGGAAAGGTGAACTCTGGTGAGAATTTTTACTTATATAATTTCCTTTCATGAGATTTTAAAGACGAATTGTCAATAAAAAAGCACATTTGCGCTGAAAAGGGGGAAAACGTAGACACATCAAAAATTCTGTGAGGTCCTAATATTTTAATCGGTGTATAATGATTGGATATACACAGGCAGCCATCTGGCTCTGCAGCTGCCCGGAGAGAAAGAAGAAAGTGCTAGATGTGGTCTGTGTTCTGAAAGCAGAGGGAATGGAGAAAAAATTCCTTACAACTCTTCCACATTCTGGCATCGTACAAACAATTGTTCACTGTCGGCTGGTTGTGTGATTTCACTCCATTCTCTGCTAGAAACCATCAACAGAAGCTCTGTTAGCAGTTCCGATGTCTGTGGCTGCTGCAATAATTCAGCATCACTCAACAAGGAAGTGATACGGCTGGGAGTTATGAACACTGACCTTGGAGTTAAAGAAATATCTGATTTCAATTCTTGGTTCTTTTGCTTACTAGCAGGAGGACTGAGGGGGAAGTTATGCAAGCTTCCTCAGTTTCCCTTTCTTCATCTGTACCCCAGAAGTAGCAAGGTAAAGATGAAGATACTACTTGATTTGGGGGAAGACTGAATGGAGTCATGTTTACAAATACAGCACTTCATATGTGCTCCAGAATTTGTCATCATTTTGGTAAATAGCTCATTTGTGCTTATTAAGAAGATGGATCCCTACAGCTGAGTCCAATGTTCTATTTTTGTCAAGTTTGTTCATGATATTATTAAAATTTCCTATGAATTGTTATTCCTCATCATTGCATTCTTTGGGCATGCTATTTTTGTCATTGCGATGTTCTGTATTCACCATGGGGAGTCTTATTGCAAAATCATGGCATTTTTTTTTGTACTACTGTTAAGCACTAGCTAATTTATGAGCTATGTAGATTCAAGGTTTCATAATTCTATGTTCTTTAAACACAAGATAGCTGTGTGGGAAAAAAAGAATAGAGCCCTTTATCATTTTGTTTTAAAGAGAAACATGGCTTTGCAGACTGGTAGCCAGAAATTTGACTTGAAACCCTGGTTCTCTGACTCTGCCATACACTAGCTACATCACACACTAGCGATACAACTGGATTCTATAAACCTTAATTAGCTTATTGGTGAAAAAAGAACAGAAATAACTAAACTTCTCCATGGTTGCTAGGAGTTCAAAATTGAGAACACACAAAAACACTGGTTCTCTGAGGAAATGAGAACCATGCAAACTGAACATATTTTTGCCATTGTTTTTATTGTTACTAAAAAACCCTGGATCACATTTCCAGCCCCAAATCCTTGTTTGCAGGGTCAGTATACAGAGTGGATTTTCTGCTCTCAGGGTGTAATTTATTTTCAAAAGCAGCTGTTCGAATTCAATCTTATCTTTGTTTTCAAAGGAAGATTCTAAAATGATTGGAGCAACGGTGCTAGGAGAAGGCTAAATCTTGGGAGAGCAAACAAAGGCTGGGGCTGTGGAAAGGCAAACATCAAACTTCTGAGAAATTCTATTAGGCAGCAAGACCAGTACTTTTCTGAAAAAGCTTCCATCTCCTCACTTGGGACACCTGACCTGACGTGTGAGGCTAGAAGGGCCCAAGGAACTTCTACTCACAGTTCTCTGATCAGGACACTTCAGCCTATGACCTATTTTGGTTTGTCCTCTCGTGTGAAGAAACCCATTTCCGCCTTCTTTGCTGTCAGAAGCAACCCCTAACAGTGGAACTCCTTTATTTCAGATTATAATTTTATGAATACCAATAATGTAAATAACATTCTATAAATAAGCAAAAATAAACAATATAATTAACTAACCCACATGAGATATATAGCCACTCATTACTGAAAGCCGTTCTAAGGACCTGATGCTATGAAGGTGGTACACTTTACATCCATGCTCTCAGGTGACCCTTCACACAATCCTGTAAGAATGCGGTGATTTTACACAATTCACAGAGGACTACACGGAGATTCAGAGAGGTTGATCTTTTTTACTTTGTTTATATTACCTTCTTTCTTCAGTGTTCCAAAACTCCTCACAATTTCATGAACAACAGCTGCTCCGCTCTGAGGGTCAATGCCACCAAACACCCATGAGTCACGGTGACCTCCAAGAATGACATATCTGTCTAGAAAGCATCATTGCAGAATTACTTGTCATTCCAAGTCAACAACAGAGCAAACTGCAAATAACTCAAGAGCATCCAAACACAGAGCTTTCGTGACTCAAAGAAAGATAACACGGTTCCTGAAGACTTGTATAAATACACTATTTTGTTCTGATTTTGATGTGTGAAGAAAATATGAATGTGATAAGCAAAGATATACTTCAACATATGATAATAATCATAGGTACAGAAGTAATGTTATGTCTAGAATTATAGAAATTATTCTATCCATGTCTTTTTATAATTCTATTACTTCTCTCTTACCTACTTATCACTTTGCTTCCAGTATTTTCAGAGTAAGAGAACTCAGGGGCCACATAGTAGGTTCTCCATTTCCTACTCCTTCTGGTCAATTTTCAAGGCACAGCTCAGTGATTTTCCTCCTCTGACTCTTTCCTAGCTTCCAAATGGGAGGGAAATTATCCCACGATCCAGCTTTCAGAGCAATCCTATCATATCCGACAAAGCAGTTACCACACTTCAATGTATGGCTCCTTGCCCATGGACCCTTGTCCTCATTTTATCCCTCCATCCCTCATGCCTAATACAAAGCCAGCACAAAACAGGTACCCAGGAAGATTCAGTGAATTGCCCATTACATGTTATTTAGTACTGACCGAAAGCATACCAATATTCTTTATCCCTGAAAGAAGCACTGGCTGCTTCTAAGAAAAACGTGATTTAACTCTAATGCCTGTTGGTAACAAATATATAACCTTAATTCCTAAGGAAGTGAAACATAATGAAGTAAGGCTATTTTATAAAACTTATTAATCTGTAATTTCATCTGAAATTCTGTAAAAATCATGTGTCTATATATCTTATTAACTTCAGTGCAAAATAAAACTATATAAAGGATTCATTCCTTAATTTTCTTTCTTTTTTGTGTTTCAGAGAGTGAGCACACATGAGTGGGGTTGGGCAGCAGAGAGAGAGAGAGAAGACAGAGAATCTTAAGCTGAGTGTGGAGCCTGATGCAGGGCTTGATCTCATGACCCTGACATCAGGACCCAAGCCAAAAATCAAGAGTTGGAAGCTTAACTGACTGAGCCACCTAGGCACCCCAAGTTTACCTTAATTTTCTAAGGGTGTTATCTTTTATACAGATGCTTGTAGCTATCATGAAGATATTTCCCCAAGCAAAATACATGGTAAACAAATCCAGAAACCCTGAGAAAATACCTCAAAATGACCTCTTCCCTGCCCTTCCTCCCTTGATCCTCTACTTGAAGCATGCACAGTTTAATATTAACTAACCTTGGGCATCTAGCCAACAGGGACCCATACTCCCTTTTCTTTACAACATGTATCACAATACAAAAATTACCTCATATTTATGAATTCTATGCTTATGTAAGTTCCCTGAGGGCGAAGAACTGCTGTGCTCTGTTCATCTCACGTTCCCAGAGCTCCGAGGAGTCCATGGCCTAGAAGAACTGTTCAATCAATATCCGCTGGTCAAATGATTAATTTACCTGGTTCTACAGCTCCTCTGAGAGTCCCAATCACATTGTATATTCTCGTCACTTTGTTGTTAGAATGGATGTGCATCTTGACTTTTCTAATGCAAAAATAAAGGACACACACTGAAAATACTAGTTAATGCTCGGTCACCCACAATTTTTTAACTCTTACATCATTTTAAAGATTTCTAAATGTACACATGCCAGAATTCCATTGTTCAGGTTGTCTGATACTAAGGATGTAAGTGCTCTCCCCTCCACAACTTGTGGGATTTCTTTTTCCTGCTGGTACTAGATATATTTTACTTTTTCAGTCATCCTCTGTAATTTTTTTTTTTTTTTTGAAAAAAGATTTCCTTCCCCGAAAGAGAGTTGCAATAGAAAGAGTCTCTTAACTGTGTAGAAAAGTTTCCAAGAAAGCCAGGTCCAACATTGTAGGGCACTTGGAGACTTCCTTTCCAGCTGCTATCTGGAGGCGGGGCCCCACCCATTTTCCTGTTGAATGCAGAAAGTGTTATTAGCTGAAGGAACACTTTGGAGCTACCAGTTAAAATGTCAGTGAGCTCGCTTTCTTGAGGGCCTGCTCCTAGGCTTCTATGATTCAGGGAAATGCCATTTACCCCTCACTATGGCTCTTAAGACGCAGGATCACTGTCACTCTTCCTTCAAAGATGAGAGGTATGAGGCTTAGAGAGACAGGTAACACGCGTGAAGTCATGCAGCTGGTGTGTGGTACAGCTGAGGGTCAAACCGCTGGTAAGAATCCAGACTCTGCATTCCCAGTTTCTAACAGAAAGCCAGTTTACAAAAGTGCTTTCCAGAGCACACACTGGGGAAAGAGCTCTGATGTCACACTTGGGGATTTTCTAGTTTGTTATTTTTCCCACTGATAAATATCATCTTTCACAAAGTCCTTCCACACACATCTATTAGAGAGTGAAGAAGAGCAAAGGAAAAGCTTTCCCTTCAATCAACAGGCCCTAAAAGCTTCATGCTATTTTTTGTTTTGTTTTGCTTTAATTTAAAAAGGTAGAGAGGCACCTCAGTGGCTCAGGTCATGATCCCAGGGTCCTGGGCTGGAGCCCCTCATCAGGCTCCCTACTCAGAGGGGAGCTTGCTTCTCCCTCTGCCCGCTGCTCCCCCTGCTTGTGCATGCACGCTCTCTCTCTCTGTCAAATAATAATAATAATAATAATAATAATAATAATTTAAAAACTTTTTAAAAAAGTAAAAAAGTAGAAAGACTCAGGCAGACCAGCCAGTACATGCCACTAGCCCTGGTTATTTCTCAGAGGTTAACTGAGAAAGATAATGTGATAAAGTTTATGGAATGAAGGGGTTCTTGTGGTTTTACTTCAACATAACTGCCTTTACTCTTTTAAGACCACTGATTCATTCATTCTTGATTTCGACATGGAAACCAATTATGCCCTTGCTACACTGTTAACAAAGAGAAGAATGTGGTTCAAGGGAAAATTAAGAGCATGAGAAAGATCAATCTATCTTTTATGACCTTATCTGTCCTCATAGACAACCCCACACACCCTCGGCTTCGCAATGGAGCAAGGTCTCCAGCTCCCTCCTTCATTCTGGGCCTACACACACCTGCTCTTCCCTGCCTGCCTCTTTGAGGAAATGGGAACAATTCAACTTGACCTAGAAGCCACTGCACACACAATACTAAAATAACCGATTAGATTATCTTCTCATAGAAAACTAATTATAGGTAATATTCTATTTTAAAATGCTCTATCAGAGAGTAAATGCTTACTTTTTTTCCCCAGGAGTTTGGCTAACAAACATAATTTCAAGTAATACACTACATAATTTGTTTATCTATTTATAATAAAATTTCACATTAAGACCATCAAGTAACATGAAGAGGCATTTTACATTGGTAAAAAGCATAATCAGTCAAAACAGCAGAGTATTAAATATGCAAAAATGTTGCAGAACATATGTGAAGAAATATATACCTATGCTGGATTATACATAAAATATTTCTATAATGATATATTGTAAGTTAACAATACTAATTGCTTTGGTGGGGTAATGGGTAAGATGGAAACCTTTTATAGTATACCCTTTGAATTTTAAACCGTGTAAATGTTATTTCCTTCTCGAAATAAAAACATGATAAACAAAACAATGTAAATTCATCAGGAAGAATAACAGTAAATTTGTGTATTATAATACAAGGAAGGAAATGAATAGTCCATATTCCCACAAAATAATAAAATATAAAGCTACAATTGTAGTGCCCCATAAGACAAGCAAACAGATCACTGGAACAGAATTTAATAGTTGTATATAAGACTCTGATGTATCCATGTGGGAAATATAATACATCTATGGAGAATAGAAGTTTTAGTCAATAAATGTTACTAACATAATTAAAAATATATTCTGCTTTAGGTACTTATTTCACTCTATAAATAAAACATAAATTCCAAGAATATAAAAAAGTTGAATATTAAACTATCAAACCACAAAAATTTCAGGAAATGTAAGTAAATGTTGAAAATGTCTCTGAAAAGATTTGATTGGATAGGTGATGCTCAACAAATATGTATGAACAGCATTGCATTTAATATCGATATCCTGGGGGCACCTAGGTGGCTCAGTGGGTTAAAGCCTCTGCTTCCGGCTCAGGTCATGATCCCAGGGTCCCGGGATCAAGCCCCACATCGGGCTCTCTGCTCAGCAGGGAGCCTGCTTCCCCCTCTCTCTCTGCCTGCCACTCTGACTACTTGTGATCTCTCTCTGTCAAATAAATAAATTAAAAAAAATCTTTAAAAAAATCTGTATCCTGTAGCAAATTAATTTTTATTTGTCCGTTTGGCAAAGATTTATTGTCTACAATGTTCAAGACAGTGTGATCTACTCACTAAGGAACACAGATAATATACATGACACAGTGGTTCTACCAAAGAGTGTAATCAGAAGTTAATCAGATATAAAGTCAACTATAAAACAAAGCAAGATAAATGATAGAGAAAGTTGTAAAGAATATAGACAAAAGAAAGCTTAATTTAGCTTGTGGGATCATGAACAACTTTCTAGAGGTTTTACTTATTTGAATTTTAAAGGATTAACATGGGAAGATGATGTGAAGAATGTTCCAGGTACAAAGTATGGTATAAAGAGGTACAGAAGCAGAAAAAGCATAGGGCAAGTGTAAGGCATGGTGACTGTTTTGGCTGCAGTATAAGATGACTAGGGTAACCATGACAGAAGCCTGAAAAGGAGTAAAACTTTGTTTCTAGGAAAATGGAAATGTGCTTTACCCTATTCTTCCTGATAAGTACAACTAAATTCTCTGGACCGTAAGTGTATAGAAAATAAACATTAGGCTCTGAAGGGTGAAGAGAAGAAAACATACTAGCTTGGGACCTCAGAGTACAAGAAAAGACACAGTGATGAGTTCCTTGAGTTTCTTTTTTGGTTTATCTACCCGAGACTTGGAGCTGAAGAAGCTGGCAAGCCAAAAATGTCCTATGGCACATTAGGAACACGCTATCTGACAAGAGCTGAATACACATTCTTCTTAAGTGCATATGGAACATATTACCAGGACAGACTATAGATTAGGCTGTAAAATGAGTCTAAATAAATTTAAATGACTGAGATCAGGCAAGCCACTTATTAGTTATATAATGTTTATTAATCCAACTACAAAAGAAATAATTTAGTAATCAATTATTATCAAGATGGGAATTTGGGAAAATGCAAATCTATGGAAATCAAATAGCTAACTCCTAAATACCCAATGGCTGAAAGAAAAAAAATCACAAGAGTAATTAGAAAATACTTGGTGTTGAATGGAAATGAAAACACAACATATCAAAACTTACAGGATGCAGCTAAAGCGGTGATTAGAGAGAAATGTATAGCCATAAACATCTATATTCAAGAAGTAGAGGGGTGCCTGGGTGGCTCAGTGGGTTAAGCCTCTGCCTTCAGCTCAGGTCATGATCTCAGGGTCCTGGGATCGAGCCCCACATCGGGCTCCCTGCTCAGCGGAGAGCCTGCTTCCCCCTCTCTCTCTCTGCCTGCCTCTCTACCTACTTGTGATCTCTGTCAAGTAAATAAATAAAATCTTAAAAAAAAAAAGTAGAAAGACATCAATCAATAAACTAGTCTTCCACCTTAGAAAACTGGACAATAAAGAGTAAACTAAGCTAGTATCAATCATAAGAAAGTAAATAATGAAGATTGTAACAAAAATAATTAGAGAATAGAGGAAAAAAATAGAGAAAACCCAGGACACCAAAAGTTGATTCTTTGACCAGATCAACAAAATTGATAAGTAATAGCATGACAGATGTTATTATTATTGCTGTCATTATTGTAGGTGTTGCTTTCACAATCCTAGTTACTCAGGGAGGCAAATGAAAGCCATGTAATCACATTCCCTTTAGTATAGATGGAAATCCCTCCCACCCAAGGAAATGTGGTTTTGTTTTATTTTAACTCACATCTCATCATCTTTTATTGAAATGCTCAGCATTCTTGGGCCATTATATGATTTTGTATTTCTCTTCATCATCTCACAGGTTTATTAAGAAATTCTCATTTTATGATGTATCCAACTTGTAAAACATCTTTTGCAATTAATACATCATATTAAATGGTTAACTGTGGACATCTGAGAATTAGCTGTCAGGGACAACAAGCATACTCCTCACCTAAGTGTGCTGAGGGAGAAAATTTACACAGTGAAATTCATAAACAAATTATATATTTTTTGAAAAAAATGTGTAAGACTAAATTCTAACTTTGTAGAATATTTCATTATATCTTAGAAAGTATGGAAAAAGAAATAGGAGAGGGGCCTCACTGGCTCAGTCGGTGGAGTATGTGACTCTTGATCTTGGGGTTGTGAGTTCGAGCCCCACGTTGGCTGTAGGGATTACTTAAAAATAAAATCTTTAAAAAAATAAAAGAAATAGGAGCTGTCTTCCTGCTTTTAATATATAAAGATCATCTCCTATTTCTAAGTAGACTGTGCTTCCAAAGTTCATTTTTAATTATGGTGTTCTCAAAGCAAAATGCACTTTTCCATGGTAGTGATGTTATTAATGGTGATTGCATTTATAAGATGGCTTAAAGAAGCTGACTTAAGTACATCAGAGACAAACTGCATTTGTGATTTTTTCTTCTGATCAAGTAATTCTAGCCCATATTTAGGACATAGCTGACACTGAACTAATTAATCAGAGCAGTCAAATGGTAGACATAATTAAGTATACCTCAAATCAATTCTATAAGATCTTTTCTTTTTTCCTTCCATGAATTATTTTTCTAATTACAAAGATAATAGAGGTTTTTAAAAACTTTTACATAATTGAGATTATTCTATGTCTCTGCATATCTATATATTTATCTCTAGATATCTAGATAGCTAGATAAATCTGCCATTTCCACTTAGTAGTGTAGCATATGCATGTTTCCATATTATTAGATATTCTTGTAGAAGATGTATTTTAACAGCTCCATGTACTATTATAGGCAGTGATGTATCTACTTATTGATTATTAAAGATATCTGTTATTTATAGTTTTCCACTATTATAAGTAATATTATAATCACTTTCATCTTTTAAATATCAAAGATATTTAGACTTTATAAATATGTTTAGATAAACACACAGCCATGGTACCCTCAGAAGTTGTGCCTGGATCCTGAATTCTAATCCATGTGGCAAAGCTGAGTCCAAAAGCAAAAAAGACCAAGGTGCTATTCCTTAATCTGCCCTTAAATGGGACATGTCCCTCCACTACTCCAAATGTCAGCCTTCTCAACTGTAAAAGAAGGTCATAAAAAGTCTCCTTATGGAGACTGGAATTAAATGATTAAGAATGCCTTAAACTCAAATAAGAAAAGGTACTACCTGGCCAGATGCTTCTCTCACTCCTACTTACAGAGAAGTCATGCTCTCTTCTTCCTAAAGGAGACTGGACAAGAAGGTACGTGCAGATGGAAAAAAGCAGGGCAGGACTGGGGAAAGGGTTCCAACGTCAGGAAAGCAAAGGGGGAAGAAGAATAGAGAGGAAAATAAAATGGAATTGCTCTCCCAGAGTGTTATCACAGGTCACCCAAGTTGTGGACAATACGAGGATGAGATGAGTAAGAGATTTCTTAGGAGAAAAGCTTGTGAGAGAAATAGCGGGGGGAGGCGGGACAAGGCTGAAAAGCCAACAGACTGCAATGCAGGTCTCATGTGGGGTAAAGGAGAAAGAGAAGGAAGGAAAGGGTGGTGGGTGGTGGCGTCAAGTTGGGCAAGCCTGCCTGCCATAGAATCCTGAGACAAAGTCTCCCATGAGAGAGTCTCCCATGTGCCTCCCAGCGATAGGCCTGTTTTTAGTTGTCCCTGCTGCAACCAGTCACTGACTGGGAACACCTGTGGGAAGTGCGGCCTTGACCCAAACAGGGTGATGGATTTCAAAGCGCAGTAGCTAACACCACTGATCAATCATGCCCCTACAGTTGGAGAGCTGGAAGTCTCATTTTTATGACTGTCACACACTGGACACCACTCCATACCATAAATTCCAGGCTAGAACCACGATTCTTTAGCATGGTGACAAAATCATAGGTTCTACCATATCAGAGAATTTCGGCATTTCCGAATATTGAAGAAATAGTCAGATGTTGAATACTGTCGATAGTTGAAGATGGCCAATAAAGAGAAATATCTTAACAGCCACCTGTTTGCTGCTGACAAACTTACTCCAGGAGCTTCTGTGCATCATCGTACCCAACTGGATGGACAGGAATGCTAGGAAGACCAACAGCCTCTGTGATTTCACGTCTATAAGCATATTCTGAAAAAAGTGGAACACATCTTAGTAAAAATTCAGTCCCTTTCTTTTTTCTTTTTTCAAAGTCTTTTTTTTTTTTAATTATGTATTTATTTGACAGAGAGAGAGATTACAAATAGGCAGAGAGGGGTATAGGTCTGTGATTTAACAGTCTTGCATTCAACACAGCAGTATTCACCACAGCACATTCCCTCCCCAATGTCCATCACCCAGCCACCCCATCCCCCCACACCCCTCTCCTTCAGCAACCCACAGTTTGTTTCCTGAGATTGTCTCTTATGGTTTGCTTCCCTCTCTGGTTTCATCTTCTTTCATTTTTCTCTCCCTTCCCCTATGATCCTCTGCTTTGTTTCTTAAATTCCAAATATCAGTGAGATCATATGATAATTATCTTTCTCTGACTAACTTATTTCATTCAGCATAATACCCTCTAGTTCCATCCGAGTCTTTGCAAATGGCAGGATTTCATTTTTGATGGCTATATAATATTCCATTATATATATACACCACATCTTCTTCATCCATTCATCTGTCAATGGACATCTGGACTCTTTCCATAGATTGGCTATTGTGGTCATTGCTGCTATAAACATTGGGGTGCAGGTGCCCCTCTGCATCACTACATTTGTATGTTTGGGGTAAATACCCAGTAGTGCAATTGCTGGGTGTAGGGTAGCTCTATTTCCAACTTTTTGAGGAACTGCCATACTGTTTTTCAGAGTGGCTGCACCATTTTTCAGTCCCACCAACAAGGTAGGAGGGTTCTCCTTTCTTTGCATCCTCACCAACATGTCGTTTCCTGACTGGTTAATTTTAGCCATTCTGACTGGCGTGAGGTGGCATCTCACTGTGGCTTTGACTTATTTTATCCAAGATATACACCTTAGCTATTTTTAAACCACACAAACTCAGGGGTGCCTGGGTGGCTCAGTGGGTTAAGTATCTTTCGGCTCCAGTCATAATCCCAGGATCCTGGGATCAAGCCCCACTTGGGGTTCCCTGCTCAGTGGGGAGCCTGTTTCTCCCTCTGCTCCTGCTCAAGCTCTCTCTGGCGCTCTCTTTCTTTCTCATAAATAAATAAAATCTTAAAACACACACACACACACACACACACACACTCAGTGATCACAGATATTTGTAAACCTTATCAAGTAGCTGAGTACATTCAAAATAAAATGGCTCCCTTTGTTCATGACTGACAATTTTACAGGGAAGCACTTCAGCCCTACACAAGCATGAGTATCTGGAGCCAGGCTGCCGGAAGTGCTCACTTCTCGGTGTGATGATCTGGGCAGCTGCCCTCTTGTCTCCGTTTCCTTCTGTCAAGCACAGGTAGTAATATTACAAAGCTAATAGGTCTGTTAATACGTGTAAGAGCTGTCATTCAGGAAACACTCCTAGAAAGTTATTACTATGGTATTTATATAACAGATGCAATAAGCATTTTCTGGACTCTATACTTTATTTTTTTTTTAAGATTTTATTTATTTTTTGAGAAACAGAGTATGGGCAGGGAGAGGGGCTATGAGAGAAGGAGATAGAGAATCCTCAAGTAGACTCTGGGCTGAGTGTGGAGCCCGATGTGGGACTCAATGTCACAAACACGAAATCATGATCCAGGCTGGAATCAAGAGTCAGAGGCTTAACTGACTGAGCCACCCAGGCGCACCAGGACTCTATATTTTAAATGTGTCACTTTGGAGATTTATAGAACTTCTTTTCTGCTGTCCCTTATCCACAAATAGGAAATTCAAAAACGTAAAAACCATAAATTTGGAGGGATTACTTAGCATCAAACCTTGATCTGACAACAAACAAACAAAAAAACCTGATCTGATGCAAACTCATTTGACAGTGAAATCTAGTCTGAGCTGACATGTGGTTATTCATATTATTTATCCTTTATTACTTACCTCTGCTTATGAATATCCATACATTGTTGCAAAATATTTATATGCCTGCTTCCTGTATTCTATCCCAGCGTCTTGGGTGTCAGGCAGCATAGGGGATATGCCCCATAGTATTTTTAAATATCTGAAAATACCTGAGTACTAAAACCCATCAGGCCCAAAGTTTCTGAATAAGAGAGGGAGGGGCGCCTGGGTGGCTCAGTCGTTAAGTGTCTGCCTTCAGCTCAGGTCATGATCCCAGGGTCCTGGGATAGAGTCCCGCATCGGGCATCAGGCTCTCTTCTCGGCAGGAAGCCTGCTTCTTCCTCTTTCACTCTCCCTGCTGTGTTCCCTCTTTCACTGTCTCTCTCTCTGTCAAGTAAATAAATAAAATCTTAAAAAAAAATTAGAAAACAATAATAGGTAAGGGACCTAAGCCAATAATTTCCAGTTACTTCTTAGATGTAAAGAGAACTTAAAAAGTCATACTTCAGGGGCACCTGGGTGGCTCAGTGGGTTAAGCCGCTGCCTTCGGCTCAGGTCATGATCCCAGGGTCCTGGGATCAAGCCCCGCATCGGGCTCTCTGCTCAGCGGGGAGCCTGCTTCATCCTCTCTCTCTGCCTGCCTCTCTGCCTGCTTGTGATCTCTCTCTCTGTCAAATAAATAAATAAAATCTTCAAAAGAAAAAAAAAGTCATACTTCATCTGGAAACTCTTTAATAAAATCACTTAAAAATTTTTTTTAGTCTCCTGTGATGATTAAGGTCTGATCACTCACCATTTGCTGGGTAACCAGGTGTGAGAGGGTCCCCTGCACCATTAAGATTTAAGATATTTCCACGCTGGACACCACGTCCGGGCAGATTCCAACCATCTGGATAGGACTTCACCCCAGGAGCAAAGTAATCAGCAGGATCTGAATACAGAATGACTCCTTTGGCCCCTGCCAGCTGGGCATTTTTAACCTGGAAAACACAATGTCTCTCTTATTTCAGGTTGGTTGTTCCAAGATTTGATAATATCATTTTTTTTGAAATTACAGTTAAATGAATAGCTAAACTTTTTTTCAATTTTTATCATCAGACCTACAACAAAGGGCATCTCACAGAGGACTGGCTTTTGCGTTTTCCTACTTCAGGTTCTAAAATTGAGTTTCTAAGAAAAAAAATAAAATAATAAAATGGGCTTCTAGGGATGGATCATCCCTTAGAGCTGTAGCTTTAGGAAATGTCCATAATAGTGATAGCAAGTACTTGCTATTTTTTTCACTAGTCTGGAAGCACAAGAAGAAAGCTGACTCTACAAGCCAGATTTCTATAACTTATGACCAGAAGGGAATATTTTTGAAATTTAATGTCTCGCACAAAAGAGGAAAAAAATGAACAGACCAAATGATAGTAATTTTTTTAAACTGCTATGTAGAATTTGGTTTCTCTGATTACCTATAATAAAAATTCACATTAAAATTGAATTTAGTAAGTATTTTCAAAGATAATATTAAAAACAAATATACTGATGGCAACAACAAATACAGTGAATGCTTCTATGTAGACCACAGATAAAATGTGCAGGTTTGGAAAAATCTGCTTTGTTCTCCTTGAACTTCTACACTGGTTCAAACTCCAATGACCCAATTTAAAACCCCTGTCTATAAGCTAGTAAATGTGTCCTCCCCATAATGTGGCTGTATTAAAAAATATGAAAGGATCATGATCCTCAGAAAGTTTTAAGGATACATTTCTATACAGGTAAGATACAATATATTTTTTTATATTAGGGGTAAAGAAAAAAAAATGATTTTTACCTTATTTCCTCTGAAAATTTTTCCATATCTGGCAATCACAATCTTCCCAGAGCAATTGATTTTCAGGTCCCTCTCTAGTTTAAAGAAGTCTTCAGTCTGTGCATAGTTAACATACACGAGATCACCCTGTTGAGATCAGGAATGATTTAGTACAAGTACGATTTAATCTGAAGAGGTTTCTCTACATGAGGACTATTTCACATCTTTGAATGAGGGAAGAGGTAAGAGCAGGCAGGAGAAAAGGAGAAAAGCACAAACCTCATGTAAGAGATTCAAAGGAGAAATGGACTTGAATTAAGACAAGTGGCTGAGTTAGAGATGTATGAATTTAACAGTAAGCTTGGTCTATATGTCTTCTCTAGAGCGGCTATAACACTATAGAAGTGTTCCCTCCAAAATGTACATGAATATACACGTTGCTGCATGCAGTCTGGAGGGGTCCAGGCACACTAGGTCAAGAAACCCTTGAGGAGGGGTGCCTGGGTGGTTCAGTGGGTTAAAGCCTCTGCCTTTGGCTCAAGTCATGATCTCAGGTCCTGGGATCAACCCCCGCATCAGGCTCTCTGTTCAGCAGGGAGCCTGCTTCCTCCTCTGTCTCTGTCTGCCTCTCTGCCTACTTGTGATCTCTTTCTATCAAATAAATAAATAAAGCCTTTAAAAAAAAAAACAAAACCCTTGAGGACAGCTTCATTCTTAAAGTATATTCACAACTAGTAGCCTAATGAGTCTCCACTACCACCCATAAGGAAGAAAACTGCTTTAGGAGTCTGGTTTCATATCATTAGTGTGACCTCATGCAAGTCTTAATAACATCTCTGAATCTCAGTATTCTCATTTGCAAAACGACCTGTTAGATGAGACCAGGATTCTTCATTTTTTTCTCATCTACTCCCTACATTAATTTTGAAAAACAACAATAGCCCCTCATATATTTACTTAACATCTAAAATTGTTTATCACACCTTTAAGTAGCTACAACAAATGCAATTGCCAGTATACTGTAACTCTTAATATTGTGAGAAGCAATTTTACATCACTTTTTATATGTATCCAAAGAAATATACACACTATACTGATTTTCTATTCAACATCATCCATTTGAAAAGGAAGACACTTTTCAGTCAGAATTTTATCACCTCTTTTCTCCTCGAACTTCTGTCTTATTCCCCTTTCCCCAAAGAGTTTTACTTTAAGGTAAAATATATTTGTGCTGGACACTGAGATGTGCTGCCCAGATTCCCCTTCGATGAAGACCTTTTGGCTCCGCCGCAAGGAAGGCTCTCTGCAAACAGCCTTCAGTTCTCAGGTCTCTTCAGGAATTGCCTCAGCTACAGACAACAGCCCTGCTCAAAGTCATGCCCCTTCTTGGGGTGTCACAGTCTATGACTGGTCAGTGGGAAGTATAAAGCGTTGGACATTTTAGTCCAACCCAGGACATTTCTGAAGCACTCTTTTGACTCCAGAAATGCCCTCAGGCCAGCCTACGCTGTCCCTGAGCTGCCTTTGACGTTCACAGCTCCCTCTGCTCAAACCAGCTTCTCTTCCCTCCCCTGACACAATTATTGATCCCAAGAGAATACCTCTTAATTAACGTCTAGGATGCTACATTTCATTTCAGTTTCTGTGACCTAGAATCTAGGAATGCCTGGAAGTCTTTTCTTGATCACTACCAAACTTCCCTTGATTAAGAATATACATGTATGTGTGTCTGTGTGTGTATGCACATTTTAAAAATGTCTTATAATAGGATGTGTGCACTAAGAAAATTCTTTAGGAGTAAGCTAATTATTAGCAGTATCAGATTGAGTCCAACAACATTACAAATTTGTGTAAATTATACCCAACCATAAAATTTTACTTGAAATATATTTCTTAATGCTAGTAGATATTAAAACATCAGGTCACTGGATGAAAAAATTGTTGTTAGAATGAGACAGGACTCCACATTAGTTCTATTCACATTTCTTGTTTTTAGACTTAATTTCTGAGAAACCTTAAGATGGGAGTAAAAGAAGTTCTATTGCAGAATTCTAAGTTATTTAAACTCCTTCCAAGTTACAATGCCCAAATCACACACCGATCTATTATCCAAGTTAATTCTAATGATGTCAGCTAGACGCTCAACTAGGCTCATTTAATTTTATTCAATTGCAAACCATATGACTTGCCAAATCTCTTGTTACCAGCTATGAGAATCTTTCACTATTGTCTCTTTGTTCAGAACCTCAGAAATTTTTATGACTCGGAGATATGCTTCATATTGTTTTAGGATGGGTGACAGATATCTTTCATTTGTAAAAATAAGATAAAAGTGAGTATAAATAAGAAAGTGGGAACAAAGTACCAGCAGGACCTGACCATCGGCTAGTTCTCAATCCAATGTCACTGTACCCTGAGAAATCGGTGGTAGACACCATTCTCTTTAAAATGATCTGTCTGCCTTGGGAAAGTCTTCACACATCCTAGTTTAAAGTCGCTGGGCTGGACAATTTCTCATATCTCATATCCTTATTTTTATCATTTCCCAATTCAGCTACATTTCTCCTAGAATGTGCACAGGAAATGTACAACAGATACTAACAAAAAATTGTTTCCAAGCTAATTCTAGGATTCATTTGACAAACATGTTGAAAATATATCGTTTCGATTCCAGCAATGTTCTATGAACTAAAGATACAGCATGTCCCTGTCCTTGGAGGAACTTACATTCAAGTGAAATGCAGAAAGATAAGATAATAATAAAAATAATAACTAACAGGTAAATTACATAGTATATTAAAAAGTGGTAAGTGCTGTAGAAAATTATTTCAAAGTTTAAATAGAATCTAGTACTTGGGTGCATGCAATTTTAAACCAGAAGAGGAAAATCTACTGAGAAGGTGACATTTGAATCTTTGCTTCAGTAAAGGGGTTACTTTTAGTTCTTATATTTCTTCCTCAGACAATGCAATATTAATGCACTATTAATGGCCGTACTGTATGCCTCATTTATAATTGTTAGCCCTCTCTTGGAGCTCACTCTTAGTCTGTGAATATAGAATAATTAACCAATTTAATTTCAGTGAATTTTGTCTTAGTGTCAGTGTCCTACTTGAAATTTATCCCTATTTAATATTGCCAACTTTGGGGAGACTCCTTCCTTAAATGTCTGTAAGTGGCGGCTGTCTTTTGATAAATCTGCAATCCTCACAAAACAAATGAGGGATCGGAGGAGACATTAGTTTAAAAACGACAGTCCACTGTGAAAATGAAAACGAGTGATAGATATGTCCTCTGGGCAGTTCACAAATGCAAGCTGTCACCGTAGGTAAGAAAAAGGCTTTGTTTTCAGACAATGACCTTCTTGTAAAGTTTACACTGTACCATTGTTCTATGACTGGGAATAAATACAATCTTGCACTGCTAGCCTAGAATTTTCCATTTCTTGCAAGCTTCCATCTTCCTGCTCTTGTTAATTGAAACAGTACCGGGAGGCAAGGCCTTTGGCTCCCAAAACATGGTTCTTAGCCCTCAGAATCCATGTCACCTGGGGCCTCATTGGAAATGAACAATGAAGACCTATCCAAACTCAAGGGCGTGGGAATTAGAAGTGTTTTATAAGCCTTCCAGTCTATCATGGTACGTGTTTGACATTTGAGAACTGCTAGATTAGATTATATTTTTATTTTATTTTAGTTTTAGTTTTTTAGAAATATTTTATTTATTTATTTGTCAGAGACAGAGAAAGATCAAGAATGTGTACAAGCCAGGAGAGCAGCAGGCCGAGGGAGAGGCAGGCTCCTAGCAGAGCAAGAAGCCCGATGCAGGACCCTGGGATCATGACCTGAGCTGAAGGCAGACACTCACCTGACTGAGCCACCCAGGCGCCCTACAGTGAAACATTTTAAGCACAGACATATATAACTTAAAAAAGAATTAGCATTGCACTGGCTAAGTATAGGTGATCCAGTAAAGCCCATCAGCCAGCAAACTCATCTACTATTTGAACACAAACAAGAAACACAGAATCACAGACTCTTCCTATTAATCTAGTAGAGCTTAGGTCTACTTGAAAGAAATGAGTTAATAATCTCTATGACTCTTACGAATAAAATAATTCTGTCGAAGTCCAAAAATTACTTGCGATTTCAACCAATTATACATTAAACCCACAAACAAATATGGGAATAATTTTCTCCCTATAGCATTCTGCCTTCTCATCTAGAAACATAATTTTTTATACATAATATTTTCACTGCTCAATAAATTTTACAGTGCTCTTTAACTACTTCATACTCACTGAAGACTTTTAAAGTGTATTTAACATTTTATGGCTCTTTTAAATTAAGTTTTTTTTTGTTATATTTCCTGTTACTATACACTACTTGTCCATGTACACTTAACTCTAATCTGATAATATTAATGCTATTTTTAAATAATGATGTATTAGTATTTTTTGTATATTCTGATTATACAGATATATCACTGTAAATAATGAATAAAGAAGACCCAAAGTATAAAAACATAAGGAGAACAATTGGGCAATAATAAAATTAAAGATATCTTTTCAACATTGTCATATGTAATTGGATCTAGCCCAGAATCTGCCCCTTAGTAGTCTGTAGCATTGCCATTTAACTTCTTTAAAACTAATTTTATCGTCTGTAAAGTGCACTAATAATACCTGTGTTATCTCAGTGACAGACGAGTTGTATATGTCAATACCTGGAAGGATTAAATTAGTTTTACTCATTCATTCATTTAATCATTCATCCATGCAATAAACATTGACTGAATACAAAAAAAAAAAAAAAAGATATCTTTTCAATAAAGGGCAACTTGGGGTGCCTGATTGGCTCAGTCAGGTAAGCGTCTGCCTTTGGCTCAGGTTATGATCCCAGGGTCCTGGGGTCCAGCCCAGCATCAGGCTTCCTGCTCAGGAGGAAGGCTGCTTTTCCCTCTCTCACTCCCTCTGCTTGTGTTCCCTCTCTCGCTGTCTCTCTCTGTCAATTAAATAAATAAAGTCTTAAAAAACAGAAAAATAAAAATAAATAAATAAATCAAAAATAAAGGACAGTTTAGATAACATGAACAAATGGATGGAAAATTAGAAAAAGGTTTTGTAATATTTAAACTGTAAGGACCTATTTTATATTTTTATATTTTAGCCAGAGGCTTCCATTGAGGTTAAACAATAACTTTGTTGTTTAACCCTTAAACTGTCCCTGCTCCCCTTCCCCCAGGGGACTTACTTAAAAACAAGTCCCGGAAACCAGCCTCAGGTAACAAAGCTCAAATACAAGGGTGGGTCAGGCCAGGTGGAGATCAGTGGGGGCATGTACTATCTCCTAGCTACCAAGGTGATAGGCTAGTTTCTATGGCTACTGTGGGGTGAATTGTAATTCAATTAGCCACCCATGTGTGTCCAGGCCCAACCACGTGGCCTTTGCTCTATAAAAGTTAATCTGGAAAGCAGGGAGGGGTCACCCTCTCTGTAAGAGGTGCCGCCCTGGCCGGCCAGTTTGATTCTTGATGCTTGGCACAAAATAAAGCTTTGCTTGACCTTCGCTCTGTATCAGTCTCGCTCCTTTAATCGCGGACCCATTATTGGGGCATAACAAAACCAATATGGAATAAATAACGAAAATTTTAAAGAAACCCTTAAATTTAATCAGAAAAAGGCTGGAAATTCAACAGGAAGAAGAGAAGGCTTTCTTAGTCATTGCACAGAATAAAACCAGAACAGCTAATAAATAAACACGTTTATAGATGAGCAACCTCACTTGTAATCAGAGAAATATCAAAAATCATAAAGTCGGAGAATTTCAAGTGTTGATGAAAATATATGTGGAAACACGAATACTCATTTAGTGTCAGTGGAAGCAATTAACTGCTACTGTCTGGACACTGTGAAATTAAGTATTCCTACAAAACAGCAATCCCACAGTGGGTTTACTGTAAACGGAGAAACCCTTGCAAGCCCAGACAGGGACACCTATGAGGATATTCCCGGCAACGCTGTGCTGATGAGGGTTTCGGAGTAAAGCAGCGCTGTCCTCAAAGAGAATGGGTAAGTTACATGTGGTGTGCATGTAACATAGAATGATAGGCAACAGTAAAAAGTAATTAACTACCCTGACATAAAGCGACACAGAGTTTTTTAAAGGCCATTGATTGAAAAGAGTAAGAGAACAAGCAAGACCTAAAGTTTCATGCTATTTACATAAACTTAAAATACGTTAAACACAAAATAAGGCCATATGTTTTCATATGAGCCTGGGTGGCTCAGTCAGTTAAGTGTCTGACTCTTGATTTTGGCTCAGATCATGATCTCAGTTTTGTGAGACTGGAGCTTGCCTAAGATTCTCTCTCTCCCTCTCCCTCTCCACACCCCGCACGGCCTGCTCTCTTCCTCTAAAGAAAAACAAAAAAAAGAATATATGCTGCAAAGGACACAAATAACATCGGGCAGGTGGAGAGGAAGGAGACTGAGAGTGAGAATGAGAGATGAAAAGAAAAGAAATTAAATTAAGGTTCATACATGGGCCCATCATGGTAAGGCACCTTAAGCTTGGAATAAGTCTAAGTGACCTCAGTACACCTGAGATCTAAAATATATATTTTCACTTCCAAAAATATCTCTTCACTTCCAAATGTTATATTTCTCATTTCCTATCTCATGTCAACTATGAAATAATTATGATTGCGAGCATTCTATTTATGTGCTAAATATTAGAAAAAATTTTCTAATATTATACCATTAAGAAGCAAATTATTCATGTGAAGTAAATTTCATACAACCAATGGAAAATACTCTTTCATTCTAAGTTTGCAAGAGTTTTTAAATTATAAGTTAATAAATCCAATAAATTTGAAAATAAAAAATAATATTTTCTCTCTTACTTATTAAAAAATATGGCACTGCCTGGTATTAAATCATCTTTATGTTCTTGCAATAAATCCTAATTGACTAATAAAAGCCCTCCATTAAGTGATACTTCAATATACCCAACTGTCAATTAGCAATTTCTTTTGACTATATCCCGGGCAGTTTAACCCAATATATTCAAAATTGAATTTACTTACTGTCAAATATTATAATAGGAGAGACAACTTTTAAAAAGATAGTAATAAATTACATTGAATGCTTTCAATTTAGCTTTCTTATAAAAAACAAATGTACCTCACAGGAATCTGGGGGTTGACTACAGAATTTCAGGATAGTTATGCACACTGCTTTACTGAGTAGACCACACAGAATTTTCTAGAATGGACATTCATGCTCTTCATTTGAAAATGGCAACAATACTATTATTCAAGTTCTTTAAAAACTAATCAGTGTTATGTAACAGTAGTAATTAAGGCAGTGTTTTCATACAATGGAAATTACTTAGCAATAAAAAAGAATGAATTAAAAGCTAAAACACGTGAATCTCATAGACTAATTTAGTGAAAGAAACTGGACACAAATGATTACATGCTGTATGATTCCATCGATATGGATTTTAAAATAGGCAAAACTAATCAATGTGACAAAACAATTAGAATGACTGCCTGGCAGGGAGTCAGGGGTGTGATACTGACTGAGAAAGGGCATAAAGTTACTTTCTGAAGTGATGGTAATACAGTGTATGTTAAGGGGTTTGGATTACACAGGTACATGCATTTGTCAAAAGTCAGTAAATGTACGTTTTGGATTTCTGCATCTCACTGCAGTAGATTTTACCTTTACAAACTGTCAACAAAGCAATAAATGGTGCTTTTTCTTATTAAGAAATTCTAATGTCCTATGAAAAGGGGGTAAATTTGAATTATGTCAAAATCTCCTTATCACTCTTTGTTTCCTGCATGTATGAGGGGGTTCTGTCTGTTATTTGTATATTATTGTATTGCATTGTTACCTCTGGCATCCCCTGGGGAGAGAAGGCATTAAAAGGTGGCACAACATCTGAAACATTTTCATATCCTGGAGGAAGTGGTTCAAACAATGACGAGTTGAAAATCTGGAAAAGTAAAAATAAACTAGTTGAAACTAAGTCAGGTAAAGTTTGATTACTACAAACAAACAAGGAAAAATGTACTTTATCGTTGCTGCCAATAAAGGGTTTTGTATTTTGTATTTTGAAAATACATATCAAATCCCTAGCACTGTGCTAGAAGAATAAACTACAGACCCATAGAGCATCTACAGAGCACCAGGTTTGACTTAGGAGGGAAATTTTAACACCCAAATAAAAAGTAGCATTATACTGTAATCTTAAACCCTTATAACATTGCTAAGATAATTATTTAGCAACAAATTAAATACCAAATTCGCTTCAATAAAAAAACTTACATTTGGGGGTGGAATCCATATCTAATAGTATCTAGATACACTGAACAACATTCACACTGAAAAGAACTAAAGATGCTGAACTATATATAAAATAGTATCTTTTTAAGTGTATCATTAAATTGGAAGGAAAAAAAAGTAAGGAACCTCAGAAGCCAGAAAAATGGGGTGTGAAAGCAGGAATCTCAAGAGATTGCACTAAAGCCTGCCTTTGCCTTCGTTGAACCCATGAGAGCCAAAACAGAAATTCTGAGATGGTCCAGATAATGGAGTATAATAAGATACCACTGCATAAAGCTGGGTTGCCAAAGAACATCCTTTAGGGGTGTTAAGGATAGTACATATGAGGGCTTGTAAACTGAAGAGAGGGGCGCCTGGGTGGTGCAGTTGGTTGGGCATCTGATTCTTGGTTTCAGCTCAGCTGGTGGTCTCAGGGTTGTGAGATTGGGCCGCACGTTGGCTTCTGCACTCAGCATGGAGTCTGCATGGGATTCTCTCTCCCTACGCGCCCCCCCTCTAAAAATCAGTCAATCAATCTTTCTAAAAAAGAGATAGAAGAAAATAGAAAGGATGTAGAGGAGCTAAATTTGAATATATAATGATAAAGAATTTTCCAAACTGACAAAATTATGAACTCTTAAGAGTCAGATGGTCCAGTGAATCCTGGCCAAGCTAATAAAAAACTAATCTACCTCCAGACCGGTCACAGTAAAATTATGATATTCAATATACTACTTAATGTTCAAAGTTACAAAAGAGAGATTATACAAGAAACCCAAACAGAATAATAGACTGCCACTCACTTCTCAACAACATTAATGGATACCATAAAGCTGTCAAATATTCTCTCCATGTGTGAAGGGACAGTAACTGCCAAACTACAAATCTAGGTCCCACAAAAATATCCTTCCTTTGGAAAATGAAATGGGGATGCCTGGGTGGCTCAGTCGATTAAGCATCTGACTCCTGATTTCAGATTGGGTCATGATCTCAGGGTGGTGGCATTGAGCCCCATGCTGGACTGCAAGCTGGGTGTGGACCCTGCTTAAGATTCTCTCTCTTCTTCCCTTTGTCCCTCCCCTCCTCCCCTCCAAAAGACTTAAAAAAAGGAAATGAAAGACACATTTCCTACCAAAAATTAACAGCTTGGAGCCAAACTTTAAAAAAGTCTCTAAAGGATATCATTGAACAAAACAAATAAAGCCTCTGAAAGAAGCTCTAAGATGATTCAAGAAAGACTGATAAGGAAGGTATCCTGATTATGTGGGAAAAATGAATAAATATGTACTGTACATAATAATGAAAACAAGAATTATTCAAGTTGACAAGAAAAGACTGAATCAGAATTATGGGCATAAACTGATAGGGTATGACCAAAGTGAAAGTATTCTAAGATGTCTGTATTGTAGAAACAATGACTGAGCCCCATACATACTTTAAGGTTTTGCTGAGTCATTTTGACCTTGGTAAACGTTCAAGTATAGCTTCTCTGGGAGCCCAGGAGCAGAGCCCACAAACATAAGAAGTTGAAAACTTCCTTTCTTTTATCACAACCAGGAGTTGATCTGGGGGATATTTATTTCTATTTCTTTCTTTCTTTTTTTTTTTTTTTAATTTTATTTATTTATTTGACAGACAGAGATCACAAGTAGGCAGAGAGGCAGGCAGAGAGAGAGAGAGAGGAAGGAAAGCAGGCTCCCTGCTGAGCAGAGTCCCTTGCGGCTTGTCCCAGGACCCTGGGATCACGACCTGAGCCCAAGGCAGAGGCTTTAACCCACTGAGCCATGAAGGTGCCCCTCTATTTCTTTAAATAACATGCTGTGTTTCAGATTTAGGCATTAGCTATGGACATTGTGACAGTTCAGCTGTTTTTGTCCCTCTGTCCCACCTGTGAATGCTTTTGTATTATCACCATCTCCCAATGTAATTTAATTATTGTGACTATTCAGAGCTGAGTTCTGTGGTAAACTGTAAACTTTTACTCTCCTGCCAACACACACAAGTTCCTCTTTCCACTGGCAACAAATACGACTAGTGTTCTATAGATGCTACCAGAAATATTTCAAATATATACACACACATTATCTTATCTTTGTTCATGTAGAGATAACACATGATATAGGTTGAACTGTACACTGCCTTTTTTTGTCATAAAAGGTAAACAGAAATTTGTAAACTAAATTGTTTTAGTTACATTCAGAATACATAATTTGAGGCTAATATTAGTGAATTCTGGAAAGTGAGCAATGCTTTCTGGTATATAGTCTACCTTTGATAAAGTACCTCCAAAAAAGTTGTTTCCTTGACCTTACAAATTTCTCCTACTTGTTAGAATAACTTATAAACTTGCTCTAAAATCTCCTCGTACAGAGAAGCTGTAAAATCGAAGATTACCATATCGGCAAATTGAGTGAGACCAACTTGAGTACTCCCTTGGCTGAAAGACGTGCTGATGCAAGGACTTTGTTTCTAGATGGATTTGTATTGTACTTTATTACAGTTTCTTTTATAATCTTTCTCAATGATTCAGATGAGTTTCATACCCTATGTGGGTCACAGAAGAATTACGGGCTATATGGAGGATGTGCGGATTTTTGGAGCGTAGCGGTTGCTACAGTTTCATGTTAGGATCTGTGTGCCTCAGGAAAGGTAGATATTTGGTGCTCTTGTTGGGATAACATAATGTCAGGTTCACTCCCAGTCTCCCATCACTGTTCGTACCCATGCCTAGGACCAGGGCCGTGTAACCATGTTGAAATGTAGTGATAGATAATCCAAACTCGAAGGGAATTTTTTTAATGTCTCACAATTAATTTTGATAGTTGCTATGACCTTTATCAGGTGATGTAAATTAACTTCCTTTCCAAGTTCACTAAGCGTTTTTATCATGAATTCAAGTTCCATTTGTTCAACGCTTTTTTGGGAGGGGGTTTGAGATAAGTATGTAACTTTTCTTTTTCATAATGATAATTATATTACTTATATGTATATATTACACATTTGTCCTGTATTTTTGCAATTTGCTTGTTGGGTTATCATTTCTAGATTATACTTGCCTTATGAAATGAGTGCAGTTTTTAACATTCTTTGAAGTAGGTTGTATTATATTTAAATGATCTTTTAATCTTTCAAACTTAAAGGAAAACCACTTGGTCTTGATGCCCTGTGTTGTGGGAGTTTTTGAAGAACTGATTTAATTTATTTGAAGTTATTTGGATTTTTAATAATGCATTCTTGTGTCAATTTTCATTTTTTTTCCATTTCATCTCAGCTATGAATTACTGGCACACATCTTCCTAGCATTATCTTTTCTTATCTGTGTGGCATCTCTAGAGATGCCTCTTTTTTCACTCCTTATTTATTTAGGTTTATTTATGCTTTCCTTATATTTTTCCTTATTTATCTTTGTCCTTTAGGGGACAAAAGGGATTATTTGGGTGGATTACCTCATCAGTGCTAACCGGGTAATTCCAGATTGACCAGTTAAAGGTCACATTCCTGGGAGAGGCTGAAACTGCATTAGGTTGGATATTAAGTCTTGGTTTGCTGAGTGGGGCTCAGGACAAGTAACTCCATTTGGGGCCTGTTGTAACTTTTCCTCCAACAGATAAAAAAGAAATTTAGAATTGTTGGTGAAATGAAACACTTAGGTAGTAACCCTCTTTCTCTCTCTTTTTTTTTTTTTTAAGATTTTATTTATTTATTTGACAGACCACAAGTAGGCAGAGAGACAGGCAGAGAGAAAAGGAAGCAGGCTCCCCGCTGAGCAGAGAGCCCGATGCGGGGCTTGATCCCAGGACCCTGAGATCATGACCTAAGCCGAAGGCAGAGGCTTAAACCACTGACCCACCCAGGCTCCCCCCGTCTTTCTCTCTTAATAAGGTTTTTGACTTTGCCCTAAAACTTACTTTATAAGATAAAACCATTTTTAAAGTCAATATCTACTTGGTGTTTCTTTTTCAGTTTTGTTTCTTTCAAACTCGTGATGTTATGTTCAAGTCACTCCTTATAAAATAGTACATAGCTGATTTTACTTAGTCTGACACGCTATGTTTTTAATCAGATTTTTTCCTTTAAATATATTTTCTAATTACTGATACACAGCATTTAAGTCACTTTTACTCTCCTATTATGTGATTTTTACTCTTCCTCCCCCCCCACCCAATGATCCTTTTTCTTACGTGGAAATCGTGTATCCTGGGCTGCTGTCTTAACTTGGGTTCAAATAAAACTCTTTTGCCATTCCTTTACAATTTAAAAGGTTTGTTCATTTTGTGTCAAAAGTTGAATAGTGCTTGCTTCAGGAAAGGGAGAATTAGGGAGGAAACAAGGCACTTTGGAGAAGTATGTGATTCTTTATGTTCAGATGTACTTTGAATTAAAATAAAAAAGGAAAATGAACTAATGATATAGCTTTATAGGAACTAATGATAGGAAGCTTTAGACAGTGCGATATTGTGATTTATAATAAATGTATATTTGATCTTCATCCTTGTCTGGCACTGAGCTCCTAAAACCTCCTAAAAGAAATTTCCTAAAGAAAGCAACAAAGCTGTCTATTGTTATGTTAACGACTTAACTTTTGGATACCTCTTAAGGATGAGAGCAGGTAGCCAGGAGAACCAATTTAGTGATTACAGGGTTGGAACTTTTCAGTCCCACTGCAAAACTCCCAACCAGGAGGAGAGATGGAGCTGGAAGTTGAATCAATCACCAATAGTCAAAATTTAATCATCACACCTATGTAATGAAGCCTCCATAAAAACCCAAAGGACAGGGTTAAGAGATTCTGGGTTGGTGAACACATGGAGATGTCCAGGGACTGGGGCTCCTAGAGAGGACCTGGAAGCTCTCTGCTCTTTCCCACATACTTTGCCCTATGCATCCTTCATCTGGTATTGATTCGTATCATTTACCATCCTTTTAATAAATCAGTAATCTGAATGTAAAATATTTTTGCAAATGTTAATTTACTCTAGCAAATTAATCAAACCTGAGGAGGGGATCATAGGAACCTCTGATTTCTGCCCATCTGTCAGAAGTACTGTTAACAACCTGGGCTTTCAACTGGCATCCTGTGTTGAATGGGGTCACTGGAACCTCCAGTCTATAGCTGGTAAGTCAGAAACACAGGCAGGGCTTGCAACTGGTATCTGAATGGGTTGGGGAGGGGGCAGTCTTATGAGACTGAACTCTTACCTATGGAATCTGACTATCACCACATAAATAGCGTCAGAATTGAGTTGAATTATAGGGCACCCAACTGGTATCTGAGAATTGCTTGTTGTGTGTGTAGGGAAAACACTCCCCATCCCAACAGAAATTGGACAAGGAAGCCAAAAGAGACAGCTAATGCCATTCCAGAAAATCTCCAGAATGACATTTCTACATGATACCTTTATATTATGTGACAAGGTTGAAGAATTTAATAAATGCCAATAATGGCCAAACAATGAAATGGAATAATAAAAGCAAAGTCACAGTCAAAACTGGGAGGTGAAAGAAGGAAAAAAGAAGTGCAAGTTTATTTTCCTCATTGTATATAGGTCATCCCCAAATCTGACAGATCAAGAGAAAAAAAAAATATATATATATATATACACACACATATATGTATATTTATTTAACATTATCTATCTCTTATTTCATCATTAAATAACTTTCCTAAACATACTTTTATACACTGCTTAGTACTTAATTATATAGCTATCTCCCCACTTATTTAACAAATGTTATGGGATCATATGTGGTATACTGATATTCCATATAACTTTTTTTTAAATACTTTTTAAATTTTGAGAGAGTTTAATATTTTAAAAAGATAAAGTATTAACTACAATAATTTAAATAGTAGTTAATATGGAAAGTTTTAAATCATATTAGGAAATTTAGCATGGGATTACATCACTGACAGGAAAATGTAACAGCGTATTTGCCATTGAAAGACTGATTCATTAGTCGATAGAAGGTGATCGACATATTAGGAAAAAATTTTTTAAATTTATATATATTTAAATCACATGACATTTTCAGGTCACTGATCAACCTGGACATATTTGAAGCTATATACAATTGAGAAGGCCCAACTAACAAAAGGACAGAAGGAAACTATCTAGATTGAAAGGGGCTATTTCAGTTAAGATACAATAGCTCTAAAACTAAGGTATGATAAACAGGGTTAAGCAAAAGAGTTGAACTTTACCAGCTTTCATACTGAATACATATCATACTAAGAAATACCTCAATTACCTGTATTATCTTTTCTTCCTCGAGTATATACCCTAACTCACAAACAAGATTATAAATTCTTTAGATAATCATTCTTTTTTTTTTTTTTTTTTAAGATCTTATTTATTTGACAGAGAGAGATCGCAAGTAGGCAGAGAGGCAAGCAGAGAGAGAGAGAGAGAGGAGGAAGCAGGCTCCCTGCCAAGCAGAGAGCCCGATGCGGGACTCAATCCCAGGACCCTGAGATCATGACCTGAGCTGAAGGCAGAGGCTTAACCCACTGAGCCACCCAGACGCCCTTTAGATAATCATTCTATAGACATTCTCTCTAAACTCTCTTCTGCCTTCAAATGCCCACATCCAAGTTCTGGGCACAGAGCTGAACACATGATCCTATAAGTCATGTCACTGAGTACGAATAAAAAGGTGTCTTGAGTTTCCTCACACCCCCACACTTAGACAGTATCTTTTATAGTCTGAACCTATAAAAAATTGTGTCTATTTTATTTGCCCGGAAGTACTAATATATCATATTCTATATCAGCACACAGTACTAAAAAACAATATACAACTGTCATCAAGCATTAATTTTTCCAACATCACTCCAAATTCAAACATCATAGGAAAGGAATTGACAATGGCAATAAGATACTAAAGACAACATTCCCAAGTTTCAATAATATTGATTTCTATCAATACTTAGAGATGGTATGAAGGCATACTCTCATAAAAGCTGTTTAAAAATAAGAGAGATGAGGATAGTTTCTTATTTCTTTGTTTTACCTCATTTCCGTCTTCATCAATTATTGAGATGTAGTTGGGATGAGTCTTATTTGGATAGGACAACAGGACATCATAATGGGCCAACTCAACAGAATCCAGGCCAAACTCTTTCCACTGGGATTGAATTTGCTTTGCAAGCAGAAAGTTTTGTTCTGTTCCTGCTAAATGTGGCAGCCGTGTAAAATTACTGGAGAACAAAAATTCAAAGTGGTTAGAAATTAATGTTTAGTCAGCCTTTATCCCAAATGAACAACCAAGGAGGCAGATTGACATTTAAAAGGTGCTTTGAAATGTGATACGTTAAAAAAGCAAAGTGGTACTATTATCGCATCAAATAGATTATCAAAGCGTATTTTGAAGTTTTCATGCTCTAATTTGTACTTATTCAAGAGAAAAATTGGAGAAACTGATCTTTGTAGAAAATTGTTACGTGCAGTCCTGTGGGTGTCCCTATATAGTAGATGAGGAAAGTGTCCTCTTCTTTTCTTAAGACTCATACATCTTAGAACTTCCATGGAATTATTTGTTTCACTACGTGAAATAGATTTAGAAGGTAAAAAGATATTTTCATACAAAATGCCAAGGTGTGACATGCCAAGAATGATTGATAATTACATTTATTTTTAAATACTTCAAGTTATGGCCAAGTGAGAAACTTTTTGATTAGCAACCTTTATAAAGTATCTTCATTAAGGAATAATCTAAACATATTTTGAGAAGCTCAGACTGAATCTCTTGTACTCCATTGATTGTGCATAGTAATACACTTAAAAATCAATGATGATAATAAGCCTGACCAGGAATATCTCTAACGAATAAGTTATGCGGGCAGAATTTCAGCTACCAAAAATATTTTTATGAGTCTATTACTTTCCCATTTAATATATCTGGGTACTGATGCCTTTGTTGTTTAAATTTCTCTCTCTTCTGGAAATGTGTTGTTTCCCTAAAGATTCAGCTCATTGGTATTTTCATCTTAACCCACTTAAAGAAAAAAAGATCCACATGCCATCATGTATCATAAAAACATTTATTTCTAGATCTTCACACATTTCTGCTTCTGAATATGTAGGTTTTTTTTTTTTTTTCTAAAACCAACACATGTCTATCCTTATAGGGTTTTGTTTTTTTTTAAACTAACAAATAGGCAACATGACTATGATAATTCCATTTTCAAATGTTTACTTTTACTGTAAATTTATCTTAATTTTTGACTTGGAAAATCAACTGCCCAGAAGAATAACTCTCAATTTTTTAAAAAATGGAGTTCTTGGGATTATTTTTTATAATTCTATTAAAATAATTTAAACTGTATTTACAAAGATAGTATTAAAATCCTTATGCAAAAAATGTGTAAGGACTTAACATTATAGGGGTCAAAGGTGGGCTGCCCCAAGATGGGCCACTTTGGCATGAACATTATTCTGAGCTGAAGGTCATCAAAACCCTTACAGTCTCAAAAGAAACTTTTGCCACTCCCTTAACAACAGAAGACCCTAAATTGGTGATCCTTCTCAAAATAAGGGTTATTAGCAGAGATCAGTTTTATATGAGTGACCCATCTGTATGGCAGGGCAAATATCTAATTACCAAACATCTGATTTTCTTAACACCCTACAAAGTGCATTCCTTTGATATACCTCATTTTGTCCGTCTTTGGAATTCCCATGTCTATATGGATTCCCCACACATACACTATTAAATCTGATTTTCTCCCGTGAATCTCTCTTGTGTCAATTTAATTTAGTCCTTCTAGTAGGACCTTGAAGGAACAAGACATTCTTGCTCCCTTATATCAAAAGACACAAAATTTTGAATGTGTATTCACAAAAGGTAGTAACAAAAATAACACAATTCTAAGAGGCAGCTGAGCTGTCTTTGTATTTTCAATGTATACCTGCAGAGATAACAGAAAAAGAGCCAACACGTTGTTATTTTTTTTCTATATTATACAGATCACAAACTGTAACATAACTAAAGTAGATGCAGATTATGCATATTTCTTAAAGTTAGAGTGATCACTGTCCCTAAATGTAAGAAATAGGGCACCTGGCTGGCTCAGTTTGGTAGAGCACGTGCCTCTTGATCTCAGGGTTGTGAGTTTGAGCCCTCAGTTAGGGGTAGAGTTTACTTAAAAAAAAAAAAAAATTAAGAAAAAAGAACAGTTGCCAGTAGGGAGTCTTGAAACTGTTTTCCCTACCACCAAAAAAGAAAGGAAGGAAGGAAGGGAGCGAGAGAGGTAGGGAGAAACTGATTATCAGACCTGACTACTATGAGTGAAAATCCTCGTAACAGTTTTATAATTACCAATGAGGATACGACACTGTGCTACAATCAGGTCTGGAACCCACACATTTGGAGCAAAGCTGATCCTAATGAAGAGTAGGAAAAAAATTCATTTCCAATGATAAATAAACTGATAAAATCCTGTAAATGGTATAGTAGAGGTTTTGCAACTAACCTCTGTAATCCGGGCTAAATCTTCAGTTTCTCATCTATACCCGTGGAAAATATTGCTACCTCACTACTTTCCAAAGCTCTGTAGCTCAATTAGGTAACTTAAACTGCACCTCTTAATTTTTCTTGTTTTAATCAATTATGAAGTGTGTTGCACGTAATTTGTCGATTCTACTAAAATACCAAGTTTTCTTAAAAAATAATAATTTACAGATCATCCCAAATAGCCAACAACTTGTATTTAAAAATGGGCTCACATATCTCTGTCTGGCTAGAAAAGTGCCATGTATCATTACAATATCTCAATTAATAAAGAGACCTGTTAGTACTCCTGTTTTAATACATTGTGTCTGGTTTACAAATGATGGAAAGGGCTTACAGGACCTAGATGTCTGGAAGGCAGCTAGTAAAAGCACTCAAAGGCGTGTAACGGAAATTCTGAGCCCAGAGATCTAAAACAGTTTTCCAAAATAATCTTATTTTTAGGAACCTGGAAGAAGGGAAGGAAAATTTCCCTATAGAGGTGCAAAGTAGTGAACAGAGTTGAGAATTCAACCAGGTGTTTTCAAAACAGAAGGGAAACAGGACAACCCCGTATCTGAGGGAGGCTGGGATCCACCCAGCCACAACGGAGAGGCAGACCGCTTGGACGTAGAGAGGATCTTTACAGAGCAAAGGAGAGTAAGATGGCAGATCTGAGGCTTTACCAACCCCTGGCCTATTGGTAGAATTAGATTGAAAGCTCTCTGATGGCTGAATGGCAAATGGGAAATCTGGAGAGTCCAGAAAGTGTCCGATAATTCTGTGGTCCTTGTGATGTGGGAAACAAAACTAGAAGAAAAATTTACTAAATTTCCTTACTACCTAGAGCCCACTGATAATTCCTTGAAACAGGCAGAGTGACATTCCTCTAGGGACTCAGCTGCCTCAATGTTAATATTTTGCTAAGGGCAAAAGGCACTCCTAGCCTGAACCACCCTCCTGCCCCCAGCCAGGATCCTGTAAGTCTACTTTAATGTATAAAAATTCCTTTGGAAACTTCCTTTATCTCTAACCACCCCCCAAGATACATGTTGGCAATCATCCTCCAAGCATATGACTCACTGATATACATCTGAAGGGTCTCGTGACTAAGGTTTTATTAGATGGTAATAAATGACATTTTCCCAACAACAGCTAGCCCCCCTCAGGGTCCTGGAAATCTTGCTTCCCAATTGGTTTGAGACTTAACTATCCCTAACCCTCCCCCAACTTGAAAGTGTATAATGGGCCACTCCTTATGACCCTGGTGCAGCTCCTTCTACCCACAGGTCTTGTCCCTGTGCTTTAATAAAATCACCTTTTTGCACCAAAGACATCTCAAGAATTCTTTCTTGGCTGTCAGGTTCGAACCCTAACATCGTCTTTCCTACATCACTTGGAGGTATGAACTGGGTTCTCATAATTTCTTTCTTTTGTGCTAGTGGTAAAAATGCTTGAGCTCTCAACAGTTAGAGGGGTTTGGTTGGGGTCATGGAGAATAAGCAAGAAACGAACTGCTTTCATTTTACTCAGGGTCCAGAAAGATAAGTGAAGGCATTCATGTTTCTTCTCTACCGGTCAGTCCATGTCCCAGATTAGGAAAGGAAGCAGGGGGCAGTAGCTCTGTCTAAGAGTGAACATTGTATCTTGCCAGAACTCCACTTTTATTTTATCTATCAAACATAATTATAGCAAAATAACTCCAAGAGGCAGAGGAGGGGTTTCCACAAAATTTAAACTTCTGGGTCTCTCAGTTGAAGACCTTCCAAAGACCTGGAAGGTGCCCTAGCACATTTTTATTCACAGTTTTAATTCTATTGTAATAGGAAGCACCTGGGTAGCTCCGTTAAGTATCTGCCTTCAGCTCAGATCATGATCCTGGGGTCCTGGGATGGGGCCTGCATCCAGATCTCTGCTCACTGGGGAGCCTGCTTCTTCCTCTCCCTCTGCTGCTCCCCCTGCTTGTGTTGTCTCTCTCAAACAGATAAAGAAAATCTTAAAAAAAAAACTAAAAAAATAAAACAGACATCTGTATTTATATGATCATGTATGTGCACATCTATGCATTTTTGTGCATATATATGTGTGTGTATATAAACTGTCTTTTATATAAAATTATAATTTGTATTCACTAAGGAATCCTTCAATCAGTATCAGGAACTCCCAAGTATTTTACTTTGAAAAAGCTAAGTATTCTAATCAGTTACATACAATCATTCCACACAAGGGTTTTATTTTTAGTTGCTTTGCAAATACTCTTTAAAATTTACTCATTTACATCTTTTGCTCTACACTACAGACAGCTATTTCATAAACAGGGAGCTAGTTTTCAAGCCATGTTATGTATACACTCTCTAATTCATCCTTATCACAACGATATCATGGTCATCATTTTATAGATGTGGAAATGAGAGCGCTTAGGAAGGTTAAGTATTCACTTCAAGTGACCTTACTGTCAATGGGCAAAGATGGAATTTAAATTAAAAAATATCTGAGTCCAAAGGCCAAGTTTATTCTTTTGACTAAAATACAATGTCTTCTAAAACAAGAGTCAGCAAATTCTGTTCCGCTGACCGGATCCAGCCCACTTCCTTGTTTTTTTATGGTCTACAAGCTGAAAATGGTTATTACATTTTAAATAGCTTAAAAAAGAGAAGAATATTCTGTGACACATATGCCATTCAAATTTCAGTGCCCATAAATAATTAAATTATTGCAACTGCCACTCTCGTATGTTTACGTATTTTCTCTGGCCTCTTCTGTGCTATAGCAGAGCTGGGTAGTTGTGACAGAGATCCGTTGGCCTACAGGGGCTGGTCCTTTACAGACAGTTTAATGGCTTCTGCCCAAAATTTTCTCTAGTGATACAGTTTAACTAACAGTATAATCCTGTCTAGATGAATACGAAACAAGGTTTTCAACAAATAAAACTTTTTTTTAAAAAGTCAGTTCCTGTATATGAAATATTGAAAAATTTTCTGAACAGAATAACAAATTACCCATATAAGCTATCAAGTATATGCTTACTATAAGAACCTCTTGATGTTCTCAGCTTTCAATTCATCCAAAAATGCCTTCTTCACATTATGCTGTGGGACAATGTTAGTAGGTTCATTAGAGGATCTTATAAACCGACCTGTAAAATATATACAAAGATAGGATGAGACATGAGCTCACAAACAGGACCTATTTTCCCTTATTATTATATCTGTCATGCATGAAACACAAAGTATCAATGACCTCCAGTAGTAACTGAGATTCTCTTACGTTTAATTTCTCTTGCTCTTCCATTGGGGGAAAAAGGAATCACGGAAACATTTTTCAAATACAGATCAGTCACAACATATTTTTAAATTCAATTTCAACAACAGGTATTGCTGTGATTCTAAAAAAACAAAATATTTTCTAAGACAACTAAATTAAATGTTTCAACTAATGGGGATAAACAAGATCTCTTAAAGGTTATGGCAAAAAGGAGATCTACCTATTTTCTCCTGAAAGCTTCTATCCCAAATGACTGCTCCTCTGCTGACTCATAATGAGCATTTAGTAAATGCTGATAATGAATTAATGATGAATCTATTTCAAGTACATACATTATTGTTCTGCTTCAGAAACTAGAGCAAAATGTGTTGAGATTCTGTGTTTCCAGTTGAAGCAGCCTGAGACTTTGAAATTCAGAAAGCTAAAAGAAAACTACAATCTACCCAACGGCTCTGCACCATGCCCAGTGCACACACAGACCAGAGGGAACAGGTTGCCAGATCATGTCCAGCGGTTGGTTAGCTCTGGTAGCTGGCTTTTAATCTGGGGGAAATGAGGGATCTTTATAGGCTTTATTTAGAGAAATGATACAACCTGGGCATAAAAGAGTTAGCAAATACACCCATCCAGCTTTCGTGGAACTTTCCAGTTATTAACCATACACACACACACACACACACACACACACACATATATATATACACTTGCATACTGAAACAAAGGGGTGGAAGCAAATGGAAATACAGTTCCACCCCAACATAAAACAAAAGGACTTGGATTCGACTGGGATCAGGGAAAGGCACACTGAGGATGAAATGCTTTAATCCAGAGCTGAAAAATGAACAAAATGAAGAGGCGGGAGGCCTGTGGGGGAGAGGAAAGCAGAGAATCCTAGGAAAAAATGAACAATTAATAAAGAACTTGTTCTGTGTCATCCACTGGGCAGTGAATTCAGGACAGGGATGAACGACCTTATACTGGTCATGTGCGCCAGCGTCCAATTAGAAACATCCCCTCATCGAGAAGGAATAAAGTGCCAACACCCCAGCACCGTCCTGGGAGCTTTAAGTGCTGTTTCATTTACCATTCCGAATAAATTACAGAGATTTCCTCATCTTAAAAATGTGGAAACTGAGGCCAGGAGAGACAGTAAATTGTTCAGAGCCACAGAGAAGTAGCTGTGGCAAAATTAAAATCTAAGAGTCTGAGCTTTTCTGTGTTGTCCTTGGTTCTTTACGAAGTGGGGTTAAGTGTGCGAATCAGTGCACAGAGCAACGCAAAAGACCTACCGGTAAAGATCTGTTCAGGGCGCTGAAAAAATCATAGCCCGTTTCCAAACGTTCCTCTAATTCTCTGACTGCCAAGGACGAAAGAATGAGGAGAGAAAAGAGCCTCCGTGCAACAATGCCCTATGTATAACCACAGCATACAGGAAGCAGCCCAGGTGTCCGACGACTGAAGACCCCAAACAGGTGAGAGTCCTTTCCGGCAAAGCTCCCTGGGCGGCCTGGTTCAGCTCCCCCGCTCGTCCTAACACGCACCAGTTTCTCAAAGAGCTCGAGGGGGTGGCACCGGCTGAATGAAGTCCAGTTTCAGGGTCTCTGCGTTCCACTCCTTACCCCGGGTGACTGTCCTACCATAGCCTGTCCTGAACCCCACTGTGCCCCGTCTCCAGTGACCCCCAACTAATCCGTGGGGGCCCGGTCCCCACCTTCCCGCAAACCAAACCACGGTCCCCGGGGGAAACACGCTACAGGACCGCACTCGACAGCGGCCCGCGAGTCCCGGGAACCGCGCGCCCGCGGGGTAGGCGCCGGCGTGCGCGAGTCCAGCGCGCCCCTACCGAAGAGGAAGCCGACGATCAGGAGGCCGGCGGCCAGCACCAGCGCCCCAACGCACAGCCAGCGCGGGCGGCGCCAAGCGACAAAGGTCGAGTCGGCTTCGTGCAGGGGATTCCACATCTCGGCGCGCCCGGCGGCCCCCCGCCCCCGGGCTCCGCGCCTCTGCTGCGGCCCCTCTGCAGCGTGGCAGCGGGACCCAGGCGTCCTCCCACCCTGGCCGCGCTTATCCGCTACTGAGGGCTGGAAGGCGCTTCCGGCCCGGGACTCTAGTTTCTCCGCCCTAAAGTAGTTCTAGCTCACTGCGAACCAGTCAGCTTTGGGGGTTCTTAAAAGTGCAAACAATGGTCATTCAGCATCCTGAAGCTGTCCGATGGTGACTTCTGTACTTGTCTGTATGTCTGTGTACAGCAAATTAAAACCTTTCTTAAAAAAAAAAAAAAAAAGGAAAACATGATCTCACTTTGAGTTTCTTGAAGTATTTTCTGTGTGTGCATAGAAAAATGTCTGGGTAGGATTAGTACCGAAATGTTTACAGCATTTACCTGCGGAGGGTGGTATGGTGAAGGCTGGGAGAGGGGTGTAGAGGATTTTCTTGAACTTCTTACTTAATATATATATATATATATATATATATATATATATATTTAAATAAGCAAGTTCAACTAAGAAATAAAAGTAACAAAAAAAATACTGCATTTTGCTTAAATGTGACAAATGTGGTTTTTCTTCAAAAGTAAGAAGCTATTTTCTATTGCGTATTCTGCTTTTTTCTTTTAGTTTTGTAAGAATTTTTAAATATATACATGCCTATAATTTTAAAATTTATTTCTTTGACTCAATAATGAAGATTTTCATATCAATATATAAATGATCTCCTTTATTGTTTTTAGTAGCTTTATATTTTCAAAGATAGATGTGAATGCAATTTTTATTCGAAGCATACCAAAAATTTCTACGTGTAGCTGATTCATATAAGAATTTAATATATTGAATTAAAGCTAAAAGCTAAAAACAAAAAAATAAAATTAAAGCTAAAAGCTGTTTTGAAAAGTAGCACCGCAAATTTTGTCATGAATAAACATTTAAAAAGGAGTGGCCCTTATAGAACTTGAAATATGAGAAGGCGTTCTCCAGACCGACGAAGGGGACATATTCTACACACAGCAGAATAATCAGAGAACCTTAGTGATTTCAGTGTGATATGAAGCAAGGTGAGTGTGATTTGTACAGAGCAAAATGAAAACTTAATGAGATTTGTTTGGAATACAAAAATAAGAATTCAGCCAGAAGCTGATTGGGCATAAATATTGGCAAAGGTCACAGTTGTTGTTGTCATTGTTGTTCATTTTAAGATTTATTTGTTTATTCTAGAGAGAGAGTGTGTGTGAAGAGGGCAGGAGTTGGGGAGACAGAGGGAGAGGAGAGAATTCTCAAGCTGACTCTGGCTGAGCACAGAGCCTGACAAGGGGCCGGATCTCATGACCCATGAGATCATGATCTGAGTCAAAATAAAGAGTCAGACAAAACCAACTGAGCCACCCAGGCACCACTAAAGGTCACAGTTTTGAAGGTCTGTAATGGGAATTCGGAGAAAAATATATTAAAACCAAAACTGAAGGGAATTGAGTTAGCATGTGGCAGAAGAAAGATCTTCTTCAAAGCTCTTGGCAGAATACGGGGGATAAGATGACGTGACTGGGTGGCTCAGTCCGTTAAACATCTGCCTTCGGCTCAGGTCAAGATCTCAGGGGTCCTGGGATCCCACCCTGCATTCCCTCATTGGTCTCCTGGCTCAGCAGGAAGTCTGCTTCTCCCTCTCCCTCGGCCCCTCCCTCCCCCTTGTTGTCTTTCTCTCCCTCAAATAAACAAATAAAATCTTAAAAAAAAAAAAAAAGAATATGGGGAAGAGGAAACTGGAGATTCAATTAAAATGCAATTTTTTTGGGAAATGAGAGGAACATGGAATGGAGGAATACTACATTGTTTATATCCAACTAGAAACTGAAAGCTAGAATCTCTGTTTTTGTTTTATTTTGTTTTGTTTTGTTTTAAACAATTGAAATTTTTGTACACTGTTGGTGGAATGCAGAATGGTATAGCCACTATGAAAAACAGTATGGAGTTTCCTCAAAACTTTAAGAAGAACTACCAGCGATCCCAGTTCTGGGTGTTCATCCAGAAGAATCGAAAGCAGGATCTCAAAGAGATATTAACACTGCCGTGTTTATTGCAGCCCTATTATACACAATAGCCAGGATGTGGAAACAACTTAGATGTCCACCAGTCAATGAATAGGTTAAAAAAAAATGTGGTGTATACATACAGTGGGATATTGTTCATCCTTGAAAAAGAAAGAAATCCTGCAACATGCAACAATATCAATGAACCTTGAGGCCTTTCTGCTAACTAAAATAGCCAGTCACAGAAGGGAAAATACTGCGTGCTTCCACTTATACGTCTAAAAGAGTCAATCAAACTCAAAGGAGCCAAGAATAGAACAGTGGTTGCTAGGGAGTTGCTAATCAAGGGCTATAAAATTTTAGTTGTATAAGATGAAAAAGATCTAGATATATGGTGCACATCATTGTACCTATAGATAACATTGTAATTTATAGATGACAATACTGTTTTGCACACTTAGAAATCTGTTAAAAGAGGGCCAAGATATGAAGGCAACCCAAGTGTCTATCAAGAGATGATTGGATAAAGAAAACGTGGTATAGATATACAATGGAATACTACTCAGCCATAAAAATAATGGAATCTGTCATTTGCCACAGCATGGGTGGATCTACAGGGGATAATGTTAAGTGAAATAAGTCAGAGAGAAACAAATATGTATGATGACAGTCATATGGGGAATTTGAGAAACAAAACAAATGAACAAAGAAAGAAAGAAACACCCCCCCCCAACTCCAGACTCTTAACTATAGAGAACAAACTGGTGGTTACCAGAGGGGAGATGGTAGGGAGCACAAGTGAAGTAGGTGAAGGAGAGTAAGAGATTAAGATTAACATCACTGGGTGACATATAGAATTGTTGCATCAGATATTCCACACCTGAAGCTGATACAACACTGTATGTTAATTATACTGAAATTAAAAAATAAAAAATAAAATAAAAACAAAAAGCAAAATAAATAAATAAATATATAATCTGTTAAAAGGATAGATCTCATATTAAATGTTTTCACCACTATTTAAAAAGCAAACTAGATGGCAATTCTAAAAACTAAAGGATGCTAACAGGCTCATGTTATAACCCAAACAACAAATTTATAAAGATTTGGCTTCCAAAATGTCAAATCTTAGATTCACTGAGGATATTCACCTCATAAAAAAATAAACAACAACAAATATTATTGAAAAGACATAAACATCCCCACATACAAATAAGCCAAATACATATCCTCAAAGTCATGGCTTTAAAATCATCCATCCATACTTGATTTTAAGTCTATCTCAATTACTCACATACACAATTATAGATCAATTGTTCTGTCTTCCCAAAGTTACCGAGGTAGTAGTCAATTCTCTTTCTCTGTCCGTCCAGCCCCAGCCTATCTCCCCCTCCGTCTCTCTCTCCTCCCACCTTGCCCTTTCTCTGTCAGCAGAATGGTTGAAGCTTGGGATGCTGTTATCTAGAGTTATCTAGGCCCAAATAGGAAAAGCATGACAAAAGTGTAGGTTTCCATCAAGAACACAAGTAACAGACTTACAGATTTACTTGTTTGCTTATTTTAAATAACGTAAGAACCAAAGAAAATTAAGTCTAGTGGTATAACCACTGGGTTGCAGAGTCTTATGAGAAGAAGTATTAGGTTAAATCCAGATCCAAGCATGTAATCTACATGGATTTTGAAATCCACATGACCATTTAGTGGGTTGATACAGGGACCACAATAGGGCATCACAGGCACAGATGTGAGTATCCCTGCTCAGTATCTCAGATAGCTATGCAAATCTTAAATATCTAAGGGAGTATCCTTGAAGACTGTGATGACACCAATGTTTCCTTTGAGAAAAGCTTATTTTTACCTTCAGAATATTTTTGTTTAAATACCGAAATGTATGGGTAATTATAAGAAATTTAGGCATATTTAATATTTCAAAAATGTAATGTGTGATATTTGAGAGAATTTGGCCTATTCAATTAGACTTAATTCTAAATTTAAGCTGTATAATCAAGTAATTGAGTTCACCTTCTGGGTTTTAAATTGAAATTACTCAGTGTATTTATATGCAGTTTTACTGGAATATGTAAAGAAATTAAGATTCTCCATAATTATAAATTAAATTTATTAGACTTATAAGAATTAACTTTTAAGTACTTGAAAAATTTTGTTAAATGATTGAAGTGCCTAAAAATTAATAGAATCCATTAAATGACTAAATGCTATTTAAAATGTTTAACAGTATTTAATCAGGTGTGTAAAGTAAGACTAAAATGAAAAAAAATGTCCCATAGTATTGTTAAAATTTATTAGGTTTATAAATAGAATGAGATATGTACACTGAAATTAAAGGCTCTGAGGAAGAACAAGATTTTAAAAAATTTCTAACTTCAATTCAACCAAATACTGATTATAAAAATCAAAGCAAACCTCTGAATATTTTTTTCTGTATAAAACCTGCCCTCAAGAACATTAAAAAAAAAAAAAAGTCACAGTGTCTAGCAAAGTTAATTACTAGTTCCCCAATTAACATTTTCTTTTCTAGGCTAGACAACACTCTCAAACATACTGGCAATCCTTAGTTTCCATTGCCAGGTCATCCTTTGCCTGTCCCTTAAATGTGGGAGTGTCTCTAAGGTCTGCCTTGGGCCCTGTGTTCTTTTCCTTCTATAGCATACATTAGGGGCACCTGGGTGGCTCAGTGGGTTAAAGCCTCTGCCTTCTGCTCAGGTCATGATCTCAGGGTCCTGGGATCGAGCCCCACATCCGGCTCTCTGCTCAGCAAGGAGCCTGCTTCCTCCTCTCTCTCTCTGCCAGAGAACCTGTCTTCTTCTCTCTCTCTCTGCCTGCCTCTCTGCCTACTCATGATCTCTCTGTCAAATAAGTAAATAAAATCTTAAAAAAAAAAAAAGAAATATAGCATCCATTAGGTGATTTCAAACTCCAAGTGCCAAGTACTCTGGCAGAAACTGGCTAGAGGTTTGCCAAAAATTGCCCTGTTTCCTAGGCACACAACTAGACTACAAGTTTCAGTATCCCTTAAAAC